AGAATACACAAGTTGGGTAAAAGAGTAATTGTATTACACATATTATTTCCATCTCTCTGCCATTGTAGCAGTAAGTAACTGCTCTTACAAGGCTGCAGTGGTGGTGAGAAGTGTAAAAAGTGTTCATGTGTCAAGGAAAGACTAAAATGTCACAAAATCCAGAAATGTGGGCCATCTGTGATTATAGTAAAACAGCTTTTAATTTACATTTCAAAATGTAACCCAGGAGCAGTTACAAATACAAAAGCATAAGTAGTTATTCCAATATAAATTGGACTGTTATTTCTTGGGTCTTTGGAGGTAGCATGGTAGATTTAAAACTGATACATGCATTAAAGTATTTTTTTAAAATCGGTGGAATTTCTTTTCATCCTTGGGGAAAGACGATGGGGAGAAATAATAGGACCATTCTGTTTCTAGTACTTCCACCATTCAGATTTCAGCATTGTCTGGTTTTCCCTCTTATGAAATAGCTGACTTTAGACCCTAATGGGCTTTTAAGATTTTTAATGTCAAAATAATTTTGTTACTAGAATTTGAATGTCTTGTGCTTCTAAGCTTGCAATGAAATAGCAAAATCTTCTCTGAAGTGTAAGCAGTGCTAATTATGATGCCTGTCTCATTTCAAATCTTTGATTCTGGATTTTCTTAAAAATTTATAAATAATAGATGTCAAAGTAATTTTCATGTCTTTATTAATAGCACATCATAGGAGTTCTCTCTTAGATCTACATCATCCTACAGTTTAAGGCTTCTGTTTATACCTGCCAGCTGTGCAGTTACTGTATGGGAATTAACTTCCATTAAAGCAAAAGAAACGCTGAGGGACTCACTAGATGAACTGCAAAATTAATTACTGGGAAAGGGATGTAAGCAAAGCTGCAGTAAAGCACTGTGAAGATCAGAGTGTGGTTATGTGGGTGCAAGCAGTGCCTGCAGTAGTGTGGAATGCTGGTTTGGAGCAGGAAAAACTTGGGATATGGAGTCAGTGACCACCTGCCTGACCACGTGCTCATGGCCAGAACTGGTTGGTCTCAAAAGGGCATCAGAATTCTGCCACTTCTGAAGTCTCATCCATGGAAAACTGATAAAGAGCCTGCACAACTCCTCCCTGTGATACTTGGGTTGTATGTTATTAACTTTCTAATACAAAGAAATCTTTGACACAAACTTCTTTAGGAGATGGAAGGACTGGATGGTATTGTTGTAGAATAATAGTAGCTTACACTGAAGAAAACAAAAAAGTTAACCCTGTTACTTAAACATAGAGGTGTAATGGCTCCCCCCTGCCTGTAGTAGCTACAAAGTCAGCTCTAATTTCCTGATTAGGCAGAAGAGAAATTAATGAGCTGAGACTAAGTGGGACTTAAAAGCTTCCCATCTAGTGCAGATGCAATTACCTTTTGCTTTGTTTATGAAGTCGTAAATGACAAATAGTTTCTGACAAAATATCTGTGTATTGGGCAGCATCTCTTCCACCGTGATACTGCAAGAAGTGCAAAAGATTGTCAAAGTGGAATTCTGAGGTTTCCTTTGCAGCTTCCCCTGTTATCAATCTTGTGAGCAGTTAATAGACCTCGGCCATCAGGCTCTCAAGGCTTGTCTCATAACAGTGACCAATCGCTCGGGGACTGATACTGTGTGCCTTGAGAAATTGCTTTCTTCCTCTGAGAACCTTGACAAAGAAATTGGACTCTTTACACCACTTAAGGGGGTGATCAAAACTGTCCTGCTTGAACTGGAAGATGGTTTTGACAGTTCTTGGAACAGGCCCATACAGGAGCACTCTACCACCGAGTTACTGCTCATAATTGTGAAAAATCTTGTCATGATCCGAGTTTCCTGTGCCATAATGCTGCTGAGTTAGAGACAAGCACAACGCTGGTCAGAAAGTGTTGCCATCAAATTTTTCAGGGTGAATGTCACAGGTAGAAGGCACCCTTACTGACATTGCAGAGCAAGAGTAGTTGAGAGTTGAGTAAGATATCCACTGGGGTCTGTTGTAAATAAGAAGTATGTTTATATTTTGGCAGTAATCAGCCTTTCTGTTTGATGTATGACTTGACAACTCAATTTAAGTAAGCTACCAAAGCTCTGATTATTTTCTTTCAAGCCAGTGACTTGAGGCTCAGGGAAAGCAACTTACAGGAAGGGTGAAAAGGGCTATGTGATTTAAAAAAAAAATAGTATTTAGTGGAGGAAGACATGGTGCTGACAGGATACTGCACAGGTCTGTGACTTGGTTTTAGTTCTACCACTGCCCTGCTTAGGAGATCATTGTCCAGTCACTTCAGGTGCCCAAAACTTAGAAGGGATTTTATAGAGCCCTGAAAATAGCCAGAAAAGAGCCAGTTATTAGCCCTTGAAAGGTGGGTCAGTTGTTTGGTTTGAGTTTTTAAGTTTTTTTCAAATTAAAGTAATGCTGAAAGAAGCTTATAATCAAGGGGCTGAGCGTACAGAATAAAATTATCACTGCTCCTGGCTTTTGCTCTATTAGCTTGATTTTCTCAGGATTTTAGCTGATAGGAGAATTCATGCAGTGCTTATTGAGGTTTTTGTTTGTCCAATGCTTTTAGATTTATAGAAGGTGTTGAGCCCTGACAATAAGAATCCAACCTCGAGCTGCAATGCTCTTAGCTGCTAAAAAAATCTGCTGGCTTGCATCAAAGTCATAAATACCATGATGTTGCCTCTGTCAAATCTCTTTATTGCACAGCCATGTGGGGAAGAGATTACTTTTGTTTTTTCCTCTTAGCCCCCATGATAAACTTTTGCTATGGAGTTGTGAGGAGAGATAGAGGAAAGATGCCATTAGAAGAAGGGAAGACAAATGGAAAGTCAGGGTCCTGTCTAGAAACACATCCACTTTGCTGTATGGGTGTCATCCAGCTTAAGAACTGCATTCACTTTTCAAAAAAAGCCCCAAAACCTTAGCATACTCCTCAATAGCAGTCCATCTTCCCAGACACTTTTGTAAGCTGCAACACTGAAAAACATAACCATCTACTATTTTTCCCAGTTGGTCAGAATTTAAAGGGAAAAAAAAATGGAAATTGTAGGCTCTGCAAAATCTTGTATAACAGTTACAAAACTTCCAAACCCTCCTCTCTGTTCTGACTGTCAGCTAAAGATGTTGAGACACCTAGGACTTTATGGGCTCCTCTATGAGTGGTTACAATCACCTGTGAATGTTTTTACTATTGATAAAATCAATATTACCTAGCATCTATGTGACATCTAGATTCTCCATCATATTTTCAATCGTAAAAGTATGAAACCAGCTCTTAAAGGACTTTGGAAGGTTTGTTTTTTGTCGAGCTGAAATTTTCTGTATATTTCTCAAATTATCTACAGGATTTATACAACTGACTTCTTAAAAATGCTTTAGAAAGGAGGCTTATTTTCTATTAAAGAGGATGGAATAAAACTGCATCTGCCAGAAGCTTTTTTAGCACTTGAATCTAAAACAAAAAATGGAAAATATGTAAAGAGTCAAGTTCAGTGTAGTCCCTTTATAATGGTCTAAAAATAATCTGCCTCTAATGGATAAAAACAAACTTCTGGAAAATGTAACATAAAATTTTATACATTTGCTATAAAAATACAGCATCACTTCACAAAATGGGCTGGAATTCTGTTATATCTGGATGAATCATCACCCTCCAGAGCTGTTACTGAGCTGCCTGCTGTTCTTGGAAGTGCTTGGAAATGGTGCTGTGACAACGCTGGCTGAGCAGCTGCTCCCTGGGGAGGACAGACACCTCCTCAGCACAGCTGAGCAAAGGGGAGCTTGGACATGAATTACAAGGATGCAGGGAGAGTTAAGCCAAGAACTTTCAGACTGACAGAAAAAAATAGTATAACAAGACCGAGTCCAAAAAAATTCAGTTAAAGAGACTCCTGAAGTGATGTTTGGTAAAGTGATGAGGACTAGGAAATATGTTTTGCAATTCCTCCCCTCTGTCACAAGTCCTTTTCTCATCAATTCTTGGGTCAACAGGGAAAAGTGAGAACAGATGCAAAGGAAGATGTGAAGTATTTAGACTTACAAGAGATTGCTATTTTCCACCCTTTTGCGTTTTGCTTCTCAAAAGCGCCACAAAGCACCAAACATCCAGATGGAAAGATGACATTCCCTTGTATTCACTGCTGATTCTACTGTCCGTCTCCAAGCCCTTGGTCACATATTTTGATTACTTATTTTAAGAACAACGAAATTGTTGGTGGGAGCACTGAGGGAACATGGCAGGAAAGGGCTGTGAAGAGAAGAGGGTGTCCCGTAGCCTCATGGGGTCCATGGGGAGAAGGGGGTGTCTTGTCACCACCTGGGTCTGTGGGGACACAGACTATTGCTGTCTACTCAGTCCTGCTGAGGCCACATCTGAGCACTGTGTCCACATCAGGGCTCCTCCGTACAGGAAAGGCAAGGGGAGGGTCCAGCAGAGGCCACAAAGGTCATGGGGGGTCTGGAGCAATTTCTCTTATGAGGAGAGACTGTGAGAGCTGGGCCTGTTCAGTCTGGAGAAGACAGGACAGAGAGGGGATCCCACTGATGGAGAAGACAGGACAGAGAGGGGATCCCACTGATGCACATTAAGATCTCAAAGGCAGCTGCCGAGAGGATGGCGCCAGACTCTTTCCAGTGGTGCCCAGCGACACCACTGAAAAACTAAAACACAAGGAGTTTAACCTCAACATGAGGAAGAGCTTTACACTGAGGTGGCAGCACACTAAAGGCTGCCGAGGGAGGTCGTGGAGCCTCCCTCTCCGGAGACATTCCAAACCCACCGGGACGTGTTCCTGAGACACCTGCCCGAGGTGACCCTGCCCGGGCAGGGCGGTGGGTCAGGATGATCCCCGGAGGTCCCTTCCAGCCCCGGCAGCTCAGAGATCCGCGAGCAGGGGCCTGTCTCCCCTCACGGGCAGCAGCGGCGGAGGCGGCGCCTCCCGCCGCCCCACACGGCGGGATGGGCGTGCGGAGCGGCGGGTGGGAGCGGCGGGCAGCGCTGGGGCGGCGGCGCTTGTGGGGCGGGCGCTGAGCGGAGGCGCGTCCCGGCGTGGGGCTCCCGCTGGCCGGCAGCGGGGCTGGGACGGTGCCGGCGGCCTGGGAAGGGGCAGCGGTGAGGGGTCGAGCCCTGATCCGGGGCATGGCGGAGACCCTGAGCCCCTGCTCCCCACGGGGCCAGTGCCAGCCCAGCATGGGCACCAATACCTCGTCCGCCAACGTGGACACCAACGCGTCCTCCTCGGTGGTGGGCGGCAGCGCGTGGAGGGGCAGGGAGCCCTTCTCCATCCTCACCGTCCTCATCCTCACCTTGCTGGTGCTCCTGACCGTGGCCACCTTCCTCTGGAACCTGCTGGTGCTGGCGACCATCCTGCGAGTGAAGGCCTTCCACCGGGTGCCCCACAACCTGGTGGCCTCCACGGCGGTGTCGGACGTGCTGGTGGCGGCCCTGGTGATGCCGCTGAGCCTGGCGAAGGAGCTGTCGGCCGGGCGGCGGTGGCGGCTGGGCCGGGCGCTGTGCCTCGTGTGGGTGTGCTTCGACATGCTGTGCTGCACGGCCAGCATCTGGAACGTGACGGCCATCGCCCTGGACCGCTACTGGTCCATCACCCGGCAGCTGCAGTACACGCTGCTCGCCCGCCGCCGCATCTCCAACGTGATGATCGCTCTCACCTGGCTGCTGTCTGCCGCCATCGCCCTCGCCCCGCTCCTGGGCTGGGGGGAGACCTACAGCCCCGAGCAGGAGCGCTGCCAGCTCCGCCAGGACCCGTCCTACACCATCGTGTCCACGGGCGGCGCGTTCTACCTGCCCCTCTGCGTGGTGCTCTTCGTCTACTGGAAGATCTACAGGGCGTCCAAGTTCCACATGGGCGCCCGCAGGAGGAACGCCGTGGGGCCCCTGCCCGAGGCTGCCCAGGTAAGGCTGGCCAAGGGGAGGGATTCCCCGCTGCTCCCCCGGGCACTGCCGTCCTGCTTCTCCTCACTCCGGCCGTCACCCCTCGGCACAGCGAGAAGGATGCCAGGTGCCTCGCAGGCTCCCGTGTGTTTGACTTTGTCACAGACTGGACGGGAGCACAATTAGCCAGTCAAAAAGTGCAGCTCCTGGAGAAGAGCTTTATTCTCATTTTTTCTTTGTGGGTTGTAAGCGTAAGGGAGAGGTGCATTCACTGCCAGTCAGGAGAGACTTTTGAAAATTGTCTCGTTCTGAATTTGCCAGTCCTTAGGGTTTTTTTCCCCTCTTTATGTATTTTTATAGCATTGGTGGGGTAAAAAAAGACATAAACAGATCCCCAGGTCTGTACCAAGATAAATGCACATTTAACTACCAGCACAGGCTTTGCATATCTGAATACATTTTGGTAAGCAAATTAAGCACTATTCACAATATAAACGTATATATATTGATGTGCTTGGGCTATTTTTCCTTGAATGCTGCTCACTGCCTAGTGTTGAAGCAATGAGCAATCATTTCTGGTTTAAAATTACCTGCTGGCTTCAAAACCATGGTCTCCTTATCCCAAAGATTGTCTGTAATCCTGCAGTGTTGGGAGGTTTTGTTCATTTTGGGGATACACTTTGCTGACAGGAAAGCTGTGTCCCTTCAGAAGGGTTGGGGTTAGCTCCTTGTGCTCCATAAGCCAGGCTCCCTGCATGGTGCTGCTGTCACCCATTCCATGCCTCCACCGTGCCTGGCTGTGCTCTCTGTAAACTTTCCTGCCTTCTGTCACAAACTCTTACTCTCACTCCTGTCACTCTTTATGTTTCTGTGACTGCGCGTTGCACTTCCTAAGCCCAGTCTCTTCCCAGTAGCCAAAGATGAGCTGTGTGGGAGTTGGAGATACCTACAGAGAACATTTCTGTTCCATTTGGGGTTAATCCTGCAGAGCCTCATTCCCCTGCAAAATCCTATCTTTGATTTGGAGGCAAAGGAAGCTCATTATGATGGTCACAAGTAAGAGTCTGTAGGTTATGTCCCCAGATGCTTGCAAGAGATGCACTAGTATAATTGTATTATTGCACTGGCATAATTGCATAATTGCACTGGCAATTATGTGTGATTAGACTTGCAGATTTGTGTAATAATGTCTTGAAGCTGCTTCTAATATATATTGATTTATGAAGGTATCTTCTATGAAAAAGCAAAAAATTTGTTAGAAAAGTAGAGAACGTCTCCTCTAGTGGCATTATTTTTCCTACAATTTTCAGCCCCTAGTTTGCATCAGATTTCTTCCAAGCTGTTTTAAGTACAATGAAAATATTGCTTGGAGTTAATGTATAATCTCTTCAAGCACAAAACCCAGCTGATTATTTGTAGTGGTTTTGCATGCTCTGTCTGTTACACACACACCTACCCACACAGGACTAGTTGTTTGGAATCTAAAAGTCTGAGAAGTGAAATGAGCTGAGGCATTGCTGCTCGAGCCAGTGGAGAGACACAGCACATGACAGCTTTAGCAAGACTGAGTCTGGCTGCAAATTGTCATAGTTCTGTCTGCAGGAGGCCCTGCGTGGGCCCAGCAGGGCTGCCAGGTGAGTGCTTTTTGTGATGCAGCATCTGGGGGCTGGTTTAGGCTGCACTGACACAAGGGCTCTGTCAGAGTGAGCTACACACGCGTTTTGGAGGGGTTATTGCAATGCCAGCAGGTGCTCAAGCCAGTAGGTCTTGTTTCTCATTGATGTGATTGACATATTAACTTCTCCTAGCAGGGATTCTTGAGTCTGCAATTCATGTGTAGTGGCAGCTTCCCCTATTGTCCCAGCATCTCTGTTTGCTGACTTAAATTAAAAGACTTGTGTGATTCAGATGCAAACTTTACTCCTCACCTGAAGGAAGAGCTGATGCTTCACACGTGCACATTAAATGAATTTGTGGATCAAGCAAGCTGGCATTCAGGGTACACTTCTTGTTTTCTATCTAAATTAAGATACTGAGATTTACTTACTGAGTGCTATCCTGATCTTTTTTAAGAATGTGATAGTGGATTCCATCACTTTCACAGGAAGAGTAGCAGTTCCCCAGTGAATTCTGGAGGGGAATCTTCGCACACATCACTGCTGTTCTTTGGCAAAATTCTGTTGATTTTTCAACATGCAAACACAAAGGTAACATTGCCAATCTTTGCTTCTCTGCATGCAGGGCTGATCAGGCTGTCAGCACGAGCTCTGTCCTCTCTGATGGGGCAAATTCTGTTCTGCTTCTCATGGTTTGCCCATCAGCTCATTCTGATTTTCCCATTCTTTCTCCCCTGATGTCTCTCCTCCCTCTACTTTCTTCCATCTCTGTTCTCAGAGAATGCTCACCTGTCATGCTCACCCTGGCAACGTTTTCCTTCTGTCACTGTGACTCTGCATGTGAATTCCCCTCTGCATCTATGTCAGTCCTCACTCCAGGTGCCCTGCACCAGTTGACCTGAAGAATATTAGCAGGGTTTTTTTGGCAGACGATGCCAAAGGCTGGCAGTGTTTCCCAGTCTGGAGGTGAGCAATAACAGCAGTGATCCCTGCTGGGAGAGACGTCTGTGTTGCACTCAGGAATGAGCTGTCAGGTAGTGCTGGACTGGAACCGCACAGCAGGGCTGCAGTTGGTGGCCTGAGGTACAACCAGCTGGTTAATTCTGGCAAGGCTAAGGGCAGAAAAGGTCCGAGTTCACAGCACTCAGATGCCTGTAGGGATGTCTTGGAAAAAACAATGCACCAAGCAGAGCAGTGAGGGTGGTACCTTGATGTTTGTCAGCCAACAGAGTCAGGCACCAAAGTGCTTTGCAGGTTGCCTATATATAAATATATAAATAGATAAATAGATAGATAGATAATGGTTTGGGGTTTTTTCACAGAGAAAGGGCATTCCTTTCAAACTGGGAGTTGGCATACATACCTTATGTTCTTACAGAGCTGCAGAATAGAATAGGCACAAAATAACTATTCTGAGTCATTCTTTGGTTAAAATTTTACTTGTGTTTTTGAAAAATACTTTTCAAAACCTTTGAAAAAATTCAGGTGAGGGAGATGGATGTGAAGCATCTGAGATACTTCTGGTTTTAATGAGAGCTTGGTTTTTGCTTTCCTTTGAAGTAAAACAATTGGGATTCTAAATTAAGCTGGTGCTTTTATAAGTTTTTGTTTGCCAATTATGAAACTCCCTGAAAAGTGAATTCTGCAGGCAATACTGACGTGGGTGACCCTCATTAAAAACCTAGTGACATATCATCACTGACAGAGAGCTATGCTCTGTCACACCTGGTTGACAGCAGGCAATAATTCTCTCTCTAAACAGTCCAATTGAAATAAATGAGACTACTTGAAAACCAGCAGATACTGCTGGATAGTGCCCTTTAAAATCAATGAAATCACTTCTAGCATAGGGATAGCCCAGGAAACCTGAGAATGATGGGATCTGAATTTCTGCATTATTTACATGTAGCAATTGTAAAATCAGGTTTAAATTTTCATGTGAGGAGTTAAAAATTGAGTTCTGTTGATGATTGGTGGAGGTCTTGTTGGTGGGGTTTTATTTATTTATTTTTTATTTCTCCTCTCTCAAAGTACTTAGATAGTATATAAAAACATTAGGCATGATCCAAACCTTAGAGTTTTGTGAGAGTCCTTCCCACTTTGGATAACATCAGGCCCCAGAGCTCCAGAGGTGCTGTGTTGTTGTTCTGCACCTTGGCCCATTCAGCTTCTCCAACCCACTTAACCAGTCAGGACAATGTGAGAGTAAAAAAAACAAATTCTTCTTTTCTGAAGGGGCCACAGGCCTTTTATTTCTTATTTGTGCCTCTGTACAAGTAGAAGAGATGTGTCAGGAAACAAAGTTCAGCTGTCCAGAAGAGGTGAAAAAATGTCCAGAAAAGAGTGAGTCAGGAGGCAAAGTGGAGTGGGTAGTTATTTCCTGGGAGAAATACAGTTAGTGAGAGAGAGCAGGTGTTCTCTCTGTCAGATGAGCTGTTTGTCGTGTTGGTGGAGCGAGGCCTTTTATTTCTTATTTGTGCCTCTGTACAAGTAGAAGAGATGTGTCAGGAAACAAAGTTCAGCTGTCCAGAAGAGGTGAAAAAATGTCCAGAAAAGAGTGAGTCAGGAGGCAAAGTGGAGTGGGTAGTTATTTCCTGGGAGAAATACAGTTAGTGAGAGAGAGCAGGTGTTCTTCTCCCTGTCAAAGGAGCTGTTTGTCGTGTTGGTGGAGCATCCAAGACAGTGTAGACATTTCTATGTTTTGATCCTTTGTTGTGCATTTAGCTTCTTGTGCTCTTGTTCAGAGAGCAAGTAGTGTGCCAGGGCTGCACTGAGGCAGTACTGACCTTTGCTGAACCACACTGTGATAGGCAAAGCTCTAAATTTGTGGTGCTAAGCCAGATTTGATTGATGTTTGTCATTACTGTTGTTTTGTTATTGCAGCCCTGCAGGTGCAGGACAGACACACGCCGAGCACCTGCCACGAAGGACCAGTAATAACAATCATTAAAGCTATAAGGAACATTTTAAATCAAAGGATGTTGTCAGAAGGTCCTTGGTGGCATGTTTTCTATGACATTCTAGGAACACAGGAATTGGGAACATGTAGCCATTTAGGAGTAGTAATTTACTGGGGACAAACAAACAAGAGAAGAAGCATTGAACTGTAATTGCTGATCAGTGTACAGAAGAATAAATTCTGGAACTCAAACCAAACTCCTTTGTGACTGTAGAAGGATTTGTACTTGAGCTCATTCCCTTCATTTACTTTTTATTAGTCTCACAGAACAGCAGTTATCTCTGCAGTTCTCACAGCCCATTGTCCTGGAAATAGCTGATTCCATGAGTTCAGAACCAAATTCTGGCCTCAGAGGAGCAGTCCTTTCATGCCAGCTCTTCCCCCAGTGCTCCCGACTCACAGCTCCTGGAGTAGTGCCTGGGCAGATGGAAGGAAATCTGTGCCCAAGGCAGAGAGTGCTGCTAGACGCCGAGTGAGAACAGGGTGCAGCACTGCAGAGATGGCTCCAGCATAACCCAAGGCATCTCCATGCACTGCTCTAATTTACAGTCTGTGACCACCTCTTCTGCTGCCACAGCCCGCTTGCTAGTGCTCATCAGTAAGCCCAAAATGGGGGCAAAGGTTCTACACTTGTCCTTTGTTCTGTGTGGTTTGGGGATAAAGGTCAGCTGTTGTGACTTACATTGGAAACTGGAGTCATGAGAAGCCTCTGGGGCTGGCACTGGGAGCAGAAGATTTGATGCCAGTTAGAGCTGCATTTAGTTCTAGCAAGTAATTTACAAAACACACCATGATCTAGTTTCACTTGCTCTTTTGTTTTCAGAGGCTTGACCTAACAACCAGGGAAGTTTGTAAAAACTCCTCTTACTTCAGTAGGAGCTTGACCAGGCTGTACGTGCAGGCTTCATTGTGGAAAACACCTGAGGACTGAGGTATCTTCTAGCAAAGGAAATGAAATAACCTTTTCTTACAATATGTAATTAAGTGATGAAAGGGTCACTGCTAGGAATTTCTACAGTCAGAAGCAATGAGAAGGCTCTGATTTGATTTTGTGATTTGATGATGGCACACAGCAAGCTCCATCTTCTGAGCAGGAGCTGCAGATTAAATACAGTATCAAACTGTGCCTGATGCTCCTGAGGAAGTCCTTTGTATGGCTGTTCCCAGGAGGCACTTACGCAACTGTTCCTCAGGGCTAAGACATAATCTTTCAGGGTTGCTTGTCACAGATTTGTCCTCGTGTCATACATTCATCCCTTTTTGCAGAGTGTGATTAAGGACATGCAGAGCAAGTCCTTCTGCAGACAAATGGTGTGATCCTTGCTACATGAGGGGTGTCCCATTTTAATTGTCAGAACAGATGTGATTTTCATTTTCCTCCATTATTTGCCTGTGCCCATAATCTGCTGCTGTTGTGTTCTGCAGCCCTGTCTCGTGTCTGAGGGTGCAGACAGGGATATCCATCCTGAAGAGTGATTGTTCAGCCACTGCTTCACTGCCTGAATTGCTGTGCTCATACTGAGTAGAGGTCCTCCTTCTATTGCAGAGGTAGCACATGAATGTGCAATATGTAGCTAATCTAACAATGACCCATATTTGGAGTGCCTGTGAATTATCACTCAGGAAAATTTTACAGCCTTAAGCTGTTGCTTTTATTGCACTCTCTTCATAAGTGTAGTGCCTAGAAAAACTTTAATATCACAGACACTTCAATCTTCAGATTAAAATCTCTAGGGATTTTCTTCATCTGTTTAGACTCAAAGAACACAGTTTCTGCCCAGAAGCTGTTTGCTCCAGAGCACTGTGCTGTACTCACTGCAGAGTAGTGTCCTGCCCTCAGTGAGAGGAGACAAGAAGCACTGTCAACAGCCTGGAGTAGCTGAAATTTTCTCCTCTCTTGTATAACCTCTACTGAAGCCAGAGTTTGAACTGAAGGTCAAATGAAATGGTGTTTTTCTGGCAATGGTGTTCTTTTTGAGAAAGTACAGAACCACAGCATGGCTGGACTTGGAAGGGACCTCTGGAACTGATCTAGTCCAAGCCCTGCTGAAGCAGTTCACCTAGAGTGGGTCTGAAGGCCATGTAGCAGCATGAGGCTGATGCAGGGACAGGCAGCAGACACAGGCCTTTGTTAGCCTGCCTTGACAACCTCATTTCCCCCTGGGTATGAAGGCATCCAGTGCAATGAAGTGAAAGAGTCCCACAACACACGTGGTACCAGGTACTCTTTATTTAGCTCTGTTTGTCAGTTACACTTGGCAGCTTTTCCAGTGTAATGAGTTTGGCACTCTGGGGCATTCTCTTTCTTTTAGCATGGAAGGAATGAAGTTCAGGCCTTTTGTGGTAGGTGCACAGATGTTGTGCTGTCATTTAGAAGTAATACTTCACTCAAACAAACTGTCTTGGTAAGAAACTGTGTTTGCTTTTGTTTGAGGTGAAGGAAGCTTCGAAGGAACCACAGATGGTGTTTACAGCTCGTCGTGCAGCTATCACTTTCCAGACAGATGGAGAAACATGGAGAGAACAGAAAGAGAAAAAGGCAGCTCTGATGGTTGGCATCTTAATTGGAGTTTTTGTGCTGTGCTGGAGCCCTTTCTTCATCACAGAATTAATAAGTCCCCTCTGTTCCTGTAACATCCCTCCCGTCTGGAAAAGCATCTTTCTTTGGCTTGGTTACTCAAATTCTTTCTTTAATCCTCTCATTTATACAGCATTTAACAAAAATTACAACAATGCCTTCAAGAACCTTTTTGTAAAACAAAGATAAAAGGGGACACAGAGGAGAAAATGATTATTGCATAAAAGAAACATGCCTGTGCTATGTACAGTTTTCATGCACAAGAGCTACTTGAGGGGATTTAGGAGCAGTGAAAAAGAAGATGGAAGACGTCTGGATATAAACCTACTGAGAGTTTACAGCTCCCCCTTATAAACACAGATGTGCTACGCCAGTGTTTGGCAAAGAAGGTGGGAGCAGGGAATGCCTCCCGTCTGCTCCTCAATCATGTCAGGCTGGGTGTGCCAGCGCAGCGCTGTGAGCGTTCGGTGCCGCGGCTGGCACACCCAGCCCGGCTGATGCCGCCCGGGCCGGGCTGCAGCTCTCCTCATTAGCAAAGGCACCGGTGGGAGATGCTAATGAGCGATCCCGACGTGTTTGTGATATGGGCAGGATGCTGGCCTCGCGTTTGAGATTTATTTGGAAGGGAATAAACATGCTGCAGTCAATCAGTCCTGGAGCTGATGTGAAATTGAAGTGGATGACCAAGCAGCTCAGGAACACACCCTGCCGGGACTGAGGGGCTGTGTGCTCTGCAAGCAGCAGGGCTTGATGGGCAGGCTCGGTCAAACAGGGGCCAGCTGTGTCCCCTGGGGTTAAGTGAAACTTAAGGGGCAAGCATAGAATTATTGAGAGCCCCCGAGAATATGTTCTCACTGCTTGCACAGGAGGATTTAGTGAGGATTTTTCACTTGTGTTGTCCTCTCTCACTCTGCCAGGCTCAGACTCTCCCTGTTTTATGAAACCCAGGTGAGCTCAAGATAGACACCAACACCTCCAAGCGAATGGGGACTGTGTGCATGGTTATTTCATGCTATCATAAAACTGAGCAGGCATCTGTGTTACAAACTCCAAACAGGATGCTCAGTCACACCAGGTGTGCTGGCAGCAGCACGTGGCTGCTTGGCAGTGGTGGGTGAGTGCCTGCACTGTGTCTGGGGCCCTTGCACCATAAATGTGCTCATCACCCAGCCTGGGTGAAGTCCACAATTTGTCAGCTGGCATCAACTTCCTCCTACTGTAACAAAGGTGTTGGTGCCATCAGGTTTAAGAGACTCCCCAAAACCCAAAGAGACTCTAAATAATTTTCCCAAGATCTGACGAACATCCCTAACCCAACAATATATACATAAATAACCTATTTCCTTGCATACTACCAAGTCCATCTTGCTCCATATTTGTTTCTCTGGTGGGTTTTACTTCCTCCCCTGCTCTGAGTGGGAGGGCTGACAGCATCTCTGAGTATTTCTAGCTTGGCAGCTTTTTACTGACAGAGTCCCAGGAAGCTTAAGGGAGCTTGGCTGCATCTCAGGAGCACAGTGTATGGTGAGGTCAGGCAGTGCTGTACCTCACACCTGCAGGGCTGTGACAGGCCAGGGTGACCTGCTGTGCCCACAGCCACCTCTGTGTCTTGCATTCCTGCAGAGGATGCTTCTCTCAATTTCAGTGAGAATTCAGAAGTTTTAATTACTAAGAATTTCAAAAGAGTTGTTAGACAGTGACTCAGACTTAAATGCTGATTTAAATAGCTTTCCCTTGTGACTCTCAACTTGCCTGCATATGGAATAGCTACCATTCAAACCAGTGTTTGGAGGATTAATTAAACCAGAAGGAAGGCATATATCTAAGAGACTGAATGTTACTAAAACCTGCAGCTTCATTCAGAATCACTGCCAAATTTTTCAAGTCAATTGATTTTTTTCATGTAAGAGAGTCACTGCTCTAAAACCTTTAAAATCCAAACAGATGACATGGATGGAGGAAATGCAGAGGTCATCCTCAGCTGGTGTTGAAAAACATACAAATCTTCTGCATGTGGCACTCCTGAAATTTCTAGTAAACACATTTTTGGACAAATTTTAGTGCCTGTAATTCCTCAGCCTGGTAAGCCAAGCCATTACTGTCACACAAATCCACTGCCAACACTGGTGCCCTGGCCCATCCAGTCTGGCTGCAGGAGCTGCAGTGATCTCCAGCTGCACATTCCAACTGACTGGAGCAGCACCCAGCTCCAGCTCCAGCAACAGCACAGCAGTGCAGGCACCTTCTCCCATGGCTTGGCCTCTGGAGCATGGGAGGACAGCACAGAGCTGCAAGGCCCCTGTGCAGTTCCTGCAGGGCACAGCTGCAGACACTGACCTGCAGGAGAGCAGCAGGAGGGCACTGAGAGCTCTCCTCCTCCTCAAGGATGAATTTAGCTCCCTTAGGAGGCAGGGCTGGGCCTCTGGAGTTCTGAAGAGAAGCAGCCAGTGCTCTGCCCACCCAAGCATCTGTGCCAGCAGCGAGTGTTACAGTGACAGGCTCACACAGCCAGCCTCCCTACGCACCCAGAGGCTACAACAGGCAAGCAGAGCTTTCATTTCATTGGCTTTAGAAAGCTCTCAACAAAATCAGCTTCCCACACTGGCTCTAAATCCAGACTACATTTAGAAGAGGGGCAGCACAGAATCGGGATTTAAAATTCTGGGTGTTAATCACAGCTTCCTGTGGGAAAAAGAAAATATCAGTGGTTGCTGCCTAACTTGCTGGATGCTGCCATATGAACTAAGATTAATGACACACTATCTTGACTATTCAAACAGGAAAAAAAAATCAAATATTCTAAAGAGACATCATTTGGCACAGCTTAAATACTATGTATTTATTTCCCCAATAGAAGCTGCCAATTTGGAGTACAGCAATCATCTCTGCTTTTAAGCAGTGGACTACTAGTTTTAAACTTCATTTCCTGACACTGAATTTGATCCTAGAAAAGTTTATTGGAGCCTATTGCTCAGCAGAAGGGCAGAGTTGCATCCTGCAGCAAGGCTTTAAGAATCCTGCAGCAGCTGCATTGTGGGAGGCCAGAATGTGCAGACATGAAAGGGCTTTGGAAGATGAGTGTGAGCAGACAATGCTAATAACCCTAATAAAGAAATTAGGTTTTGCTGCAAGTCCTGAAAATGTTACTTTACAAGTCTTAGAAGGTAACACCAAAAGAGTTCAGGGCAAGACCGTTCTCTTTCAACAAGGAAATCCAGCAATACTAAAGAAAAATTCTGAGAATGCCTTGCATGCAACCAGCTGAGATGGAGAATTAAGGCAGATTCTCCTTGCTGTTAATTTCTCCCCAGGAAGAGAGGGAGGAGAACCCTGACACACAGAGCCTGTGCCAGGAAGCAAGGAACAGCTGATGGAACTGTTTTCACACCCTCACCAGCTCCTTTCTTCTCCTTTTCACATGGGCCTCACACCAAAGGTAGTGGCCATCTGCCCATCTCCAGCAGGGCTCCATCTACAGCAGACAGTGAGTTATGATTTCTCCTTTGTGAGCAGCAACTGCATTCTACAAACCTCAGATTTATATCTCAGTCAAAATCATACAAATCCTAGTCAGAGAAACATTTTTATATTCCTTGTGGAAGTTTCCAGGTTACTGTGTTTGTAGCTGGTAACCATAAATTTTAACATTATACTGAACAAATAATCACATAATTTATTCTACATGCAAATTCATTATTTACCTTACCTAGGAAATTTTGCTTGATGCTAAAAAGCAATTGTGATTAAAATGACAAATCCCAAATTGAAATGCCCATTCAAGTTATTTTTTTAGAGTTGTGTGGTACACAAAGACAGCACAGCTTGAATTCCCAATCAGCTCTCCTTGGTGCCAAAGTTAAGTTATTCTAGCTACAAACTGGAAAGAGCCTTATATAGTTGTTATAGCAAGCAAAGTTTGTAGACAGAAATAATGCTTCCTGTATCAAAGCTGACTATAGAAAATCTGCAAGCAGCACTCAATGCAGGTTTCCTTCTTTGAAGGAATGCTGAATGTAAACTTTTCCTTCTTTGAAGGGACTTGGAATCTGATTTTACCTTCATTATTTTGCTAGCCCTGGGCAGACTGACTTTTTGAACAGATTCAAGAGGAGCAGCCCAGATCTATTCCCTCAGTAACCAGTGTGGGGGAGCAAGGTTCCAGCTGGCTCAGTGGGAAGGTTTCCTTTCTGTTGGTGCTGAAGGAACAGGACATCACAAACACAGTGACTCATTGACTATGGACACGATTCATCTTTTAATGCACTTGTAATTCAGGAGCCTGGGAAAGCTTCCAAGGCAAGTTCCACCTTAAAAACACGATATCAGAATATCAGTGGATTCCAAACATTTTTATTTTGTATTTGCTGCCACAGACAGTAACTGAACAGTGCTGTCATCAGTGTCAGTGGGAAAAAGGAGCATGGGTCTTCTTCTCCCAAAGATGTCATGTACATTAAGAAGTCAGTCCAAAATCCTGGTGTTAAGTACAAAAAGCAACTGTTTGAATTATAAAATACTGTATATACAGATATAAAAATGTCTCAGAAAGTGTCCCACAAAGTTTCTGAACTTTCAAGAGCAAATCTTCAGCAGGGTAAGTATTGGTTGTTGTCTTCAAAGGTGAGCATCAGTTCGTTAGAGCAGAATGTCCCAGTCTTTATCTTCCTATATTACAGGTGACAGACTCTGATTTTCATCCCCACCAGGGATAACGTGGTGATCCTAGTATTAAGGTGTTTTTTTCCTGGAGCTATTAATTTAACAAGCAAACTCTCTATATATAAAAATGAAATTTCAAAGAAATTTATACAACAGCTAGACTTTATAAAAATATAGATCTATAATTTTACACCAGGAATTATCCAAGGTAAATTTTCATTTTCTTAGTCATTAGAAATTAATTGTTATCCTTTGGAATCCTATATATGGCTAGAGTATAAACTAAAATAATGTGAAGTTATTAGCTGGAAAAGCAAGTTTGAAGAATCTCATTCTGTGGTTTTTTTTGGGGCCAAAATTAACAAACTACTGCATTCTGTAGTGCTTATCCTGTGGGGTGGTGGACATACTACACAGTACATGTAAACTTATTCCAGAATTTTCACCTAATTGAGTGTTAAAACCCAAATTAAAAAAAAACAAAAAACATTCCCACTGTCCTTACTGTAGAAAAAGAAACCCAAACCCAAATAAATAAAGTTAGACAGTATTTCTATTTTGCTGTACTGTGTTAACTCTTTACTGTGTAGTGGAGGCAATAATGAATAATACAGCCATGTGATGAGGGAATGTAAACTGAACACATACTGGAAAAACCAGACTTTTACAGCTGTGTGTATATATATTTTTTATATATTTCTATATATATACATCTACATTGCAGTTATAACTGTCACCTCACAAAAGAGATTCAGTGGACTGAGCAATCTTCTATAAATTTCCCCAGCTGGAGTTCTTCAGGAAGAACTGGCTTTCAGCTTGGACAGCAGCATTTCATTCTTACGGCATTCCTGTTAACAGAGAGCAAACATGCCAGGAGGAATTGCTCTCAACTCTGCTACCTGCATCTCCACACCAACAGAACCAAACCCTTTCTTTCATTTTGAAACATCTCCACAATCCAAAGCAGCCTGGAGTGAGTGATGAGTTGAAGATAATTGTTATTCCAATGGCAATACTCATTAAACTTCATGACATGCCAGCCAGAAGGAACACTGCTTGACCACCCATCTGAAGTTTTTACATGTAGCTAAAGCAAATTCAGCTTTTTACTTATAACTAGAATAAATCTGAAATGGAGATTACTTGTAGGTGATCTGGAACAGTTCACAGGACAGTTTGCAAAAGAGTCAGTGCTCAGGGAACAACTCTTGGTCAGGAAATGTATTTCCACAAGTACACCTGGTTTCAGTACCACAACCATGACTTTTTTATTTTTAAGGGTGGCAGAGTTGAGCAGAAATTCCCTCATATGGCAATGGAAGAAAAATAGGAAAAAAACTTAACAATAGATCTACCTAAATTCTGCAAGTAGGATGTAAAATTCTGCATGTCAGACAAGTAGCTGAACAGCCCCTGTCATTCTGCCAGAGTATGCTGTCTGAAACAGGAAGGAACTGTCTCAGAACAAAGCAGGAATAATTACACAAAGATGTTTTTCCTCGAACATATGAAGCCAAATGACAATTTTGCCTGCAGCAGTCCTTTTCATTCATTCATTCTCATGGAGACAGCAAGTAACAGAAGCCCAAGATGATTAAAAGCTTGGGAAAGGCTAAATCAATGAAGTGTTATACAGTGCTTTCACAGTCATTAGGCAACAAGGCTGGTTCCTGAAGATTAATGACCAAGATCCTGCATTTCCTCCTTATTCACACACATTTCCACACCCCTCTTTGCTCCAATAACTAACTGCTCACAGACCTTCAGGAGATGCCACGTGAAAATCTAAATACACCACTGGCTTGATAACCTCTCCCTGTAACATGGAGAGGTGCCAATCTAGCAGTGAAAGGACTCCCAGAATCAAATTCAGAGTCCAAGATTCACATGGAGAAAACGATCAAGATATATCATAAACATGGTGTGATAAGCACCATATCAGGAAATCTGGTGCATACATTAATGCACAAGTCACATCAAAATGGATCACTGAACAGGACAGTTGAACATAGCAAAAGCATTCTTACCTCTTTAAATTCTTTCACTGTTTTGAAATAAAGTCTCTGTTTCTCTAGAAGCTCTAAGTATTCATCATTCAACTGGTCTCTTCTCATTTTGTTTTCTTGCTTCTTCTTTTCCATCTGTTGGTATGCAGGAAGGGTAAGAGATCATATGTATGTGATACACATGGACATACTGCACAAGGAACAGCTAGCTATAACACACAAGGGGAGACAGATACTTCATAAATGATACCCCTGGCTCATGCTTGAAATGCAATGAACATTTAGGTCAGCTCTTCAAAATTAAAAGCCTAATGCTGAAGTCTCAGTACCAGAGGCACTGTAGGTGCAACTGGGACAAGGGCACATCATGGTTGGGACTCTGAGGTGCTGCTGACCCTCTTCAGCAGCAGAAAGCAACTTCAGTCAGCTCCCACAGTCTGAGAAACTGTGCTTGAGGTGCAGGTCTGACTGCACCCACAGAGTTCAAATGGAAGAGTTCTCACTGATTTCAGTGGCATTCAATTGTCTCAGGCATTTAAATAACTACACTACCAGTAATGAAGTAGAGAGGTATAAAATTCCTGTCAGGACAGAGGTGTTATAACACTCTGTCATACTCTATTCATTGACATTTAATGGTGAGAAGTTTCTGGCAAATGTGGAAAGAAATAATACTTTTTAGTTGTTTGCTTAATTTGCACCTCTTGTAATGGATAATAATTGTGCATAAAAAGATCCAAGAGGCTTTGTTGAGATAATTCCCAGGTTTTAGCAAAGAAAATGAGAGGAGTCAGACCTTCATTCGATTCTGTTTGATGCCTTCTACAATCTGCTCCATCTGCCGCAAAAACTGCTCCCGAGATCCGGATGATGCCATGGCTCTGGAAAGAAGAAAATGAACACCTGACAGGGATATGGGACACTCTCAGCTGCTGCTGTCTTGCACACCTACCCATGTCCAAAGTTCTCATTGCTTAGTGTTCTGTGTAAAAATTCATCCTTTTAACCACTGGTACCACTGACAGTGCAGCTCTTCAGCTCCCAAGGAGATGGGCACAGAGAGCTCAGAGCCCGTCACAGGTGTGCTCCCTGTCAGCTCAAGTCTGTTCCTTGCCCTCATGTGCTGTACAGAGATCAACTGCTAATAACTAAATAAAAACATAATTTTTTAAGAAAAGCCTCTGTTGTGAATAGTAAGAAGGTGACTAGAGGTCTAGGAGAACAGCAAATGTTGTACAATTTCTCACTGTAATAGAGAAAGCCTAGAAGTCATTTTAGACCTCGAATCATTAGAGAAAAATAAACACTGGCTGATTCACAGACTGATCTTTGACCATGAACTTCCAAGGCAACCACAATTTTACACAGACTCCACAACATATCAAAATCTCCAGATACAGAGATAGTTTATAATAAACATGTCTGAAGTACGTCCCAGTCTAATGTTTTGTACATAATGTAATAACCACAACTCCACAAAAAGGAGGAAAATACTTAAATTAACTCCAGGAAAATTATGACTGAATTTCCACATCTAAAGAGTCAGATATTGAAAACATATGTTGGCTATAAAAGTTACGTAATTCCAAGTCCATGATTCCCCAAAATAGCTTAAACAGAGTTAACAAACTATTCTATAAATTAGTTTATGACTATACAATCTTCTAAGAAAATTTTTAGTCTCTATAACTGATGCCCTCTCCCACTTGTCCAACCAACTCTACCACTCTTTACAACTATTATGAGATAAAGAACCATCACTTACTGGTGGAAGTTGTCATGGATAGAATTCAGTAAGTTAACCTGTGAAATGGAAAAAAAATGAAGAAAATACACATTTGTCTTTTCTGGTATGAGTTTTCAGACAATAAGATGACTTTTATTTTAAAAAAATTTACTATATAGATAATGTCCTCAAAAGCAGACAGATGGACAAAAATTATCATGAGTTTTCTTTCAAAAGATAAACCACAATCCTTTTGATTTAGTAAAATCTGTCCCACTGGTTGAAGCAGAAGTGTTGGACCACAACTGGTCTTTTTAATTTTACTGGCACTCAATTATATCACTGAGAGTTTTCCAGCATGATGCCTTCCCAAACGAAAGCAATGAAGTAAAATGGCCTGTACACGTGTTCAACACGTGTTGGAATTTGACATAAAAGCAGCTGCTGGTCCAGTGTTCAGCAGTTACTGTTGACATGTGCACAAGCACATCACAAGTAAACAGGAAAAAACCACTTTTGCCTTTGAGATGGGAACCACTCAACACATTCTATTTCCACAAAAGGCTCTGAAGACTCTCCAAGCAGTGCAGGAGCAGCAGGTGAATTCCTGCACTGCTTTCATTGTGCAGATGAGGTTTAGAGAGTCCCTATCAGCCATGCATCCTAACTCACTTTGCTTATGTGTACTTTACTGGTTGCTAAAAGGTGAACTCATAAAAAGTACAGAATGGCATTTCAGAGATGTGGCTTCTCTTACAAGATAATAACATTGCACTGAATGAAGACAAAAATAGACATTTCTAACATTTATTCCCAGGAATATTTTGCTACTTGTATAAATTCCCCTAACGAATAAAACTATATCGAAAATATATATGTAACTGCCTTTGATTTTTTTCCTGTTTTTTACATATTGCTGAGAGCATTAAAATTCAACAACTGGAAATTAAATGTAATCCTTTCTTCAGTTTTGAATACATCTTGAAAGTCTCCTGTGGTTAAGCCTTCCAAGCAGTTTCTCCTTTTGAAGAGTTCTGCAAACCCAAGGGCTGCAAACAGAATCACCTGTCCCACTGCCACAGAAAGCTGAACTCATCTCTCCTAAATCTAAAATCCTCCACCTGAATGAGACAGCAATAAGCAGGCATGGCAGAATCTGCAGGGTCTCCTGACCTTCCCTTGGGAAACTCAAAAAAATTCTGAACAGACTCCCAAGCAGCCAAGGTGCTTACGAATTCCTGTAATTCACAGCAGTGAAAATATTGCATTACTCATCAATATTTGCCATGTTCACATCCCTGCCTCAAGATATTTCCACTAAGCCTGTGCTTGAGAACATGATTACAGTTTACACAGACATATACATATATACATTCAAGCCAGGAAAAGTAACCCTGCCCAGCAGTGCTGCACATCCACAGCACAGGAAGAGTGTGGGTGGATTACACTACAGTGAAATCAGCATACACACCCCAAAATTGAAAGACATTATGAAAAAAATTACTTTTAAACCATTTTAAAAAAATGCATCTTTCTCAAAATAGGGTTAAATATGACCCATGGTGACAGAGACCTTTCATGACAGAACTAAAATCCTCATAGCCAAAATTCAACTGAAGAACAATTTTTACTATTGTTTTAAAGCAATGATGCTCAGTGTGTTTTACAAAAGGGCTGGACTGGGGAGGAAAAAGGGGAAAAAAATCTCCCCAAAACCCAGGAACAAGACAAAATGCAAGTATATTCCAGAAATCTTTGTGAAGCACAGATGCCAAGGACATGTTTTATACACTATTAGACAATATTTGCTTGCTGAAACCTTGGTTCTAATATTAAATGCATCTCAGGGAAAGCTCAATGATATTATACACTTAACTAAGTTAAGATGGCATCAGAAGACATTCAGCATTCCCCCTGTGAACCCCCCAAAGGCATTGAATTATTTTGGCAAGAGTACTCCCAGTTTATACAACAGTGAAGTAAATCTGTTCTGCATTCTGTTTCTATTTTCTCTATAATCTGCTTTTTATGCCCCCATTTCAAAACCAGTCTCTCTATAATGTTTAAATTTTCAGGTCTGCCCTCAAAAAAACCAAACCAAGAATAAAACAAAACCTCCAACAAATAAATCTGCATTAAATGCTAATGTAGGGAAGAAGTTAAAGTAATGTTAAGTAATATAGCTTGTACTTCATGCATTTTTTTAAATATGGTATATGACTTTTCTGAATGGAAAAAATGAAAACTCCCTAATGTGGATTAGAATCAGCTGCTTAAGGGAAGGAAATGGTTGCACATGATCTCCAAAACATGATGTGAAAGGACACTGAAAAAGTGTCTTTACATAGCCAGAAATTTGACCACTGCTTGTCTCACAAACTAAAGAAATGTATCTATATAATGCAAAACTCACTAATCTGTTCTTATTTTATTAGAACAAACAGGAAAACCTGAGGTATCAAAACATTTTGTATTTTAAAAGTACAGTCGTAATTTTTATTTCCTCTTGTTTCCTCCTATTTCTCCATCTTTACTGAAATCAAACACTTGCAAAAAAGGAAGACTGACATCATTCAGGCCCAAAAAAGAAGGGAACTCTACATGAGATGGGAAAGAGGAGGGAAAAAACCCCATTCTTTTATGAAAACTACTCTTCTGACCCAGTAAAATCACCAGCAAATTCAATGTAGGCAGCTCAAACCCTGAGAACTAAATCTGATGTTGCTGACAGCAGCTGGAATTTGCTGTGGTCTGAGTTCAAAATAAAAGGTATCGACTAAAAAGAGAAAAAAGGGTAATTTAGTGCTATGATTACAAAGATATTTGCTGATCAAATGTTACTCAGGTTTCAAGAGCACAGTGAGTGTTCAAACATCTGTACTAACAGCAATTGTTTTACAATACAGACCATTGCCCCTCCACTGCCCTTCAATAAATATTCTTATGAATCTGTTGTTCCATTTTTGTTTACAAAGATCAGTAACTCTACTCTGACAGGACTGAATATGGAGAAATCCAAGCAAAAACTTTTTATTTCCTTCCCCAAAGACTGAATACTTGGAAAATAGTAATATTTTCTTACCTCCTTTTCCAAATATACTTTCTTATCATCCAGCGTATTATAAAGAGTAAAAAACTGCTTCGTTTCTTTGTGAGTTGCTGAGACTACAAACAAAAAAAAAAGGGGTAGAATAATAAAAGAATATGAGGTAAAAAGGAATCTGTAAAAATACTCTGTAGGCTTTCTATAACATATTTTCCACTATCAACAATGGAACACCGTCAGTAATGTACATGCAGAGGGAACATCCTTCCAGAGTTTCTCTCAGCAGGGTTCCAGCTATAATCTCTTACAAGAACAACACAGCTCAGTGTCTAAATAAAACCCCAACTGCTGACAGCCCTTTCTGCCAACCCCTGTTGGCACCACCAGCTGCTTGTTTGTGCTTCCTTCCCACCTGTACCTGCCACCACCCAGGCTGCTGTGCTCAAGTGGCCTTGCCTGGGCTGTTGGAGGGGCACAGCCTCAGCAGGGACAGGGAAGAGCAGATAATCTTGGTAGTACTGTGTGGGGGAAAAAGTGCATTAGACTATAAATGTCAAGCTATACATGTGCAAGATGTCCAACAGAGCTTTTGCTGTTTTACAGTATTTTTATTTTTATAATCTATGTGTGGTGATAGAATTAATACTTTCTGGTTTAGATGGTTACAGCAGATGTTGGTCAGAGCTCAGCTGGGAAGGCGAGGCTCAGACATGCCTTCCCATTGGGCCTACAGGATGACACTCAAATCTGCTGAATGTTCCTCTAGCCTTTAGTTCTTTGATGCCTAAGGAAACCCAGTATATTTGTGACTCCCAAGGAAAGAGTTCAACAGGCAGCAAAAGTAAGTCTGGATAGAAACCACAAGTTGGAAAAAATGTATGGGTTAAAAATTATAAACCTTGGTGAAATCTTGCTCATTAGTCTGGGATTTGCAGAACTGCTGCCAAATGAAAGAGGCCTTTCCCAAACCATTTCCTTCATGCACCTCCTTCTGCTCTTCCAGCAGCTCTGGCAGTCACAAGTCTTTCATGAGTGGATTCCACAAAACAACTCAGAAAACCTTTCAAGATTTCACCTGTGTTGGAAAGTTGTGCCAACTTAAGGAGCCTTATGGGCACACACCAGAACCCATGCAGGGTAAAACAAAGGGACATGAGGAAGAGGGAACCAATTGGCTCATTGATTCTCTTAAACATTTTCAATGGAAGAGACTCAGGTCAAAACCAAAACACTGAATATTGTAACTCAAAAGGATACTGGTACAAAAATCACAAAATCACTAAGGTTTGAAGTTACTGCTGAAGATTGTCCTGTCTAACCCCTTGAAGCAAAGTTCAAAAAAAACATGTTTTGGCAACTGAAGATAACCTGAATCTGGATAAATTAAAAGCCTCTAAGTACCTCTAAAAACACAATAATTCACAGAAAAACTTGCTAGAGATTTCCAGCTCATTTCTCTAGAAGCTTAGCCTGTGCAATCAGGCTCCCAACCACAACTGAGCAGTGTGTTATCCTGAGATACTACTCACACTTTATACTTTAGGAAACAAAGTCCCATAAAATTCAAAGCATCTTAAATCCACACCCAAAGCTGCCCAAGTCTCTTTGATGCTAGTCTCTCTGTACTTCAGGTATAAAGGAAGCTCCATCTTTTGAGCAGGTAGCTCTGACCAGACATGACAGAGAATTAGACATGACAGAGAATGTGTGGAAATTTTAAGGAAAAACAACAAAGTTCTTTATAGCTGGACTTGATTAAATAAACTGCATGGCACAGCAAAGAGGGAGGAAGAAGTACTGGACTTGTACTCACATCTATTCCATGTATTTGGACAATACACGTGGAGGACAGCACAGAACTGTGCCACTGGAGGTGCCTCCCCAGGGCAGGGGATTTGGATCCCACTCAGATAACCAGTTTGGAACTGCTCACCCTTCCAGAGCTTGCTTCACACATATATTAATAAATGCAGAATGCCTCTGAATCATTAGCTAGGTTTTCTTATGCTAGCACTCAATCCAGTTAAATATACACCAGTAAGCATACTGGTCTGCTATCAGTTTAATGGAACAACTTTGAAATTTTATTCCATTTGCACCTTTTCCAATTTTATAATTTCTGATCATAACAGCTAAAGACAATTTCTATTCTTCTCCTACCAAGATATAGCAGGATTGTGTCAATTAAAAATGAAAGAAGCCAATCCCCTCAAGAGGATTGGTTTTTACTTTGTAGTTCTTGACATAGATTGGTTCAGAACCAGTTATGTCATGTCAGTAGAAACAATAAAAGCAATCTAATGGTAAGGCAAATTAATTAAACACGATTCAAACTTACAGCAACCTCATTTGTAAATGGTGAATTAAGGACTTTCAGAACATACTGTCCATTAACCTACATGACAGAACCTGCTGCAGACAAAATTTTGTCCAGAGATCTTGTGCACCAAGTTTCACCCTCAGGAAGATTCTTAAAGCCCAGCTTATAAAACCTCGAAAATATGATGTGCAACATGAATACCAAAACCCTTTAAAATACCACCAAATGAGTAGGTGCTGTTGTTACATGCCATATGCTTAAAATGCAACTGCCCTCCTTTCAGGGCTTTAGCCTTCAGCAGGATGGTCCTGCTTGATATACATACCCTGACTGTAAAGTTCAATAAATCTCTTCTGATACTGTGTGAGCTCAGCTCGGCTGGGTACTTCATCAATCTTGCGCTGTAAAATGGCTATTTCTCTGTTTCTTCGTGCCTGAATAGAAAGTTAGGAGGGGAGAAAACAAAGCCTCTTCTTGTTCTCTTCTTAAAATGGATGAAACCCCCCCAGCAATACTTTGTTATTAAATAATTGATTTTAAAAACAAAAAGCTTTGGCTGAGGATCCAATTATTTTTTTGGCAATTGATTTGTGACAAACACTTGTTAAAATTAGAACAACAAGACAAAGAATTAGAAGCTACAAGATAGGACAAACATCAGCAATTTTGTACAAGTAAGGACACAAAGAGTAACTCACCAGTAGCAGGCGGATCTTTTGAAGTTTCTCTTTCTCAGCTTTGTACTGCTGTTCTATAATCTTATTTGGCTCCTGGAAGTTGAGAACCCAAAACAATTGTGTATTACAGTAACATATGAGAGCTGCAGTGCAAAAATGGGCAGATTTGCTTTGTTTTCTGGTTTTGCCTACCTTTGGCTCCCACAATATCACCAGCATATGTTTGTGGGTTTTTTAAATAATAATTCATTATCTGTATTAAAAGCCTGACATCATTTACTCTAAACAAAGGCATTTAGATGGTTTTTAGCTTTGATATTTTTAAGAGCTATCAACAGCTTTTGCACTGCTTTACACCAGTCACACTTTAAATGAAGATACAAATCCAAAGATTGTCAGTACCCCTTGTCTGAGTGCTTATACTTTGATTCGGTGGTGGGGTTAAGAATAAACAAGGCACCTGAACAGAACATAAACCCTCCAAAATGTGGTCTAAACTTCCTGCAGTGTGAACTTCAAGCTAACTACTTCTTGCTAAAAAATTTAAGATTTCAACTTGAACTTTAAATTTTTTCATGCTGTGTTGAGGAGGACAGCAGCATCATGGAAGTTGTAATCTTCCTTGTTCCAGAGGTATGAATGCATCAAATGTTTACCCACTGAAAATAAAGTCATTGAAGCTTTTCCTTTTCTGTTCATTCATTATTCATTGCCATCAGTCTGGATGCACTTGTGTTAAAGTCTAACTTCTGACAGCTGCTCACTGCATGCAGTGCACTGAGCCACTGAAAGCTCATGCTTTCATCCTTCAGATAACCCCACTTCTAAGAAAAAAACAACCAAACCAGACATTCTTTCTGAGGAAGACATGTTTCTGTCAGAGATATGCACAGAGATTCTTCTCTGGTACTACAAAGAAGTAAAAGGCATCTACGAGCAGAGCCCCATGGATTCTGCAAAAAGAACAGATAATGCTGTTGTTGTTTGCAGAGTCCTGTATTTTTAGGATTATCAGCCTGAACTGTGGCTTTACAGAGCTTTTTAAACATTCCAGCAGATACTTTAAGGCTTACAAGAATGTTCCAGAAGTCAGGACTTAAACAAACAATCCAAATGCAATTTGAAAATTGGAACTTGGACTTTTGCTATTACCTGTTCCTCCCCATCTTCTGCTGCTTCGGCTTTCAACATCTCAATATTTTGTTGTAGTCTCTCCATTTCTTCCTTTAAAACAAACAGAAGTTGATTTTTTTTAAACTTAGACCTCTTCTCTTAAGAGGGGAGGGAAGGATCTTGACAACACAACTTCTAACAAAATTTCAGAATTGAACAAATACATAATATTTAAATTTGGAAGATTAAACAGCATTCCCTGCTTAAGGGTATTAAGGAAGGCCACACCAACTCAGATCCTTCTATAAAGGATATAAACCTGGAGTTAGCAGTACCTGGAGGTGTGGGACAGACAACAGACAGGCACACACAGCACAACAACACACCAGGAAAGTACTTATTTACCAAGTTTTAAATGAATCCTTCTAGGAGACACTGGAACTTACCCTACAATGTGCTTTGAACTCTTGCTCCTGGCTTTTTAGGTTTTCATTCATGGCCACCAGTGCTCGCAGACTCTGTAATATGCTAAATTTGAAGATCCAGTAAGCTATGTTAGAGTTTTAGTTTCTAATTTAAACAGATTGAGAATTAACATATATTAAAACAAGCTTAGTTCTAAATAAATTTACAATAAAACCTGGGTAAATTAAAACCAAATATCAGCACTGATATATCAAGGTCAAAATAAAGATGGAGCATTATGGAGTGTTACACTGCATTTTCTGATGGCTTTGTTATGTTTTAACCTCATTATTGTGAAAGTTTTGAGAGACTTCTACTTCATTTATGTGAGATGAAGGCTTCAAATACGAACAAAATAAATCAAGAATGCCTCATCTACTTGTCAGATGTGTCTAGGGCTCTTCTGCTTTAAACACCTACAATTATTTTGAACTACAGACTGACACTTTTCATTCTGACTGAATCCTATTGCAGTATTTCCCTGTCTCTGGAAAGCACGCTGGAGAATAATTTAATTTTTAAATTTTAGTTATTTGTTAAGGCTGACAAACCAAGAAACACTGAATGATTCATTTTAAAACCATCATTTTTCAGAATTTCAAAGATAACAAAGGAAGAAACTTACCTAGAATCTGCTTGGGATTCTATTGTTTCTAAGGCTGCCAATTCCTTGTCCAGCTTTTCACTGTAACTCTTAACCTAAGGGTTACAATTAATAATATATTGATACTAAATTGATTGATAATAAATTGAGTTTCCCACACTATGAGATCAGTGAGTTAAGCTGGCAAACACCTTCAGTGTTTAATATATCCCTTCACAAACAAAATTACTCAAAAAAGTTTCAGCTACAAACAACACAGAAAAAACCCAAGATTACCTCTGCTAATGTCTTTTTTGCTTTGGTACACTTTGCCTGCAGATCAGCACACTTAGCTTGCAACTGTTACAAAAGAGAAAAAAAAAAAGAGTTGGATCTGTTGGATCTATATTCACACTAATTACACCTGTAATGGAGAACAGAGAATATTTGAGCTGCTCATAATGGTTGTCTGTCAAACAGCAGGCCAAGCATAACAAACACTGTCTTTTCCTGTCAGCTACTCCTGCATCTGAGTGCAAGAATTCTGACTGAATATTTAATTACTAATAGCAAACATTTACCACCTGATCCTTTAGGTGTATAAAGTCCCAGAATAAACAACAGCTTTTCCAAAATAGAGGCCAACAGAATGGTGACTTATTGGACAGAATCTCTGCCAAACTGCTCAAACTTTTCTAGCCTGGTTGTACTGGCCTAGTTTCACACCAAGCTAAGAATGAGTCCCATTTTATACTTCTCCAAATAAGTCAGGGCAATTCAAGACTTGCACAGAAGCACCATGGCACCAAACCACAGACACTTCCACACCAAATAACCAAGCTGCTTTATGTTTTTTTTCTGAGTAACTATGAAAAGTCTAGTAAGGCAGTGAGCAAAACATGTATTATAAACAAATATTAGATATTTCACTTGTCAATTAATTTATGGAGGCTAATTTTAGAAAAAAACATCCTTCTTTAAATTCCTCATGATTTAAGGTAAGATTGCAAATAGTGACAACAACATGTATTATAAACAAATATTAGATATTTCACTTGTCAATTAATTTACAGAGGCTAATTTTAGAAGAACATCCTTTAAATTGCTCATGATTTAAGATAAGATTGCAAATAGTAATAACAAAACAGGACATGGTTTACAAAAGTGGAGCAAAAGTGAGCAAACAGAAAATGCACATGTAGCACAGTTCCACTTCCTTTCATGCTGCTTTAGTTTGCTGTTCACAGGATAGAGCTGTGACTCAATGCTCCACTCTTCTCTTTCCACAGCCAAATTTATAAAAATAAAGCTTTGTTATTGTTTTTCATAATTTTTCACCAATAATTCACCAATAAATTTTATTCTAAGTAACTGAAAAAAATTTAAGTCTGCAGTCTACATCTCATGAAAACTGACATGAATTGTTAGTTTTGAGAAATCTTGCCAAAACTTATTGCAGTATTGAAGCAGAACTCCAAAAATATTTTTTAAAAGACCGGGTTCTTGACTGTCACTGATTTCAAAAGCTGATTTTGGCAAGTGGTAAATGAAATTCAGCCAGGAAATTCTTACTTTAGTAAAGTGATAAAAGGATTATATTTGGCTTACAGCTGTCAGTACATTTTTTCCCCATATAAAAACAGCACTGAGATTGTTATGTACTGAAAACAAGCTGCACAGAATTAAAGGGCCCTCAACTGTTAAAATGGCAAAATGGTGCTTCCCAAAATTAAGGCTGAGCTAAGTGCCCCAAGAACACAACCTGTTCTCACAATCCAAGGGCAATGCAAGCATGACATTCAGAGAAATCAGTGCTCAGCATGACAAACTGCTGGTGGAGAAGGTAGCTTGCAGGTATTTTCTGGATGGCAAAAACTTTGTGATCAACCACTTTTATCAATGTTTTCTTCTTTCCTACACACACAATACTTACCTCTTCGAGGAGTTTGGTTTTCTGCAAAATCTGCTTGTTGAGAGATGCCACCTTCCTTCTGTGCTGCTGGGCAGCTCCGAGCCTTTCTGGTCGCTCCTCAGCGGAAAGCTCAGATTGCTGAAAAACCAATAACAACATTTAGAATAGAAATTGTATATTTGCAGTAGACAAAAGACTCACTAAAAACCAGTGACATCTTGATCTCTAAGGGATTATTTGCCTAAAAATTATTTGTACCTTTTGAAAGTCTTCACTTTGATACTTGCATCCATCTGTTTTTGTAATTTGCTTCATGCACTCAGACTTCTTTTTTCACTTAATCCATTTTCCAATATTTCACTAGAAAATCAGTTAATTTTCACGTACCTCAAGTGCTAATTTATAGTCTGTCAAAGACTTCAATACTAAGTGCTTTTTGAATAATTACCAAATGCTGACAACTGCTACAATCAGCTAACATGCTACAAGAAGTGTGATATACTCTTCACTCCTATTTGCTCCTGGTTCCACTCCAGGCAGATGGGTAAGCAGCTTAACTTTTAAATGAAAATAAGCCTGTCTTCCTCCTCTACATTTTCTATGTAATTCATATTGAAGAGCAGCTTAATGATTTGTTATGTTTTTACATCCACAGCAAGAAAAGACCAATTCTGATGGCTGAACCCAACAATTCAGAAGCTTTCTTTGCTTTTGTTGTTAGGAAAGGAAGAAATTACTCTAAGCAACACCTGTGACCCTGAACTACTTAACAAATATACACTCACTCTTACTTAATCCTCTCACCATTTAGTCAAATCACATTCCTTCATCATGTTATGCATTCCAAAACCTTATCCTTCTCACCACAGATTTAGCCTCTTACATGCATAAGATACAAAGGGAGAAAAATGGAAATGCAAGAGAAAGAAACATGAGCTAAACCAGTCTGAGACTAATGTTTGCAGAAATAGTAAAAATTCATGTAGTACAGCTTTGGCATTAAAAAAAAAGAGTGGATCATATTTCAAGAAGTGAACTTTACATCTTGCTTTTGGAAAATGGGAAAGAACCACCACTAATGTCTCTGTTTAAAGATGATCAATTTGCTACTCATTAATAATTTTCTGCCGGTATTTTCAAAAGGTGAGGAACAACAATACAATCCTTCCTCCAGTTCACTCAGCCGGTTAACATGGCAAAAGAATGGAGGGGCAAATGCAGAAAATTCTAAGCATTGATCTTCTGCAAAAATGCCTCTTGTAAGAAAGGTCCTGGCCCAGACCTCGCATTTGGCTTGTCAGGTATCTTTACTGGGCTTGTGGATTCTAGTAAGACTCTGGTAAACAAATAAAGACTGCTGTGTTTCTCAGGCTATGTACAGTTACCAGGGGCTAAGACTATTAGCATTATATCCAAACATTGCTGATGCTTCAGTAAACTCTTTGATAACATCCTTAATTCTCTTCCTGGTGCATGCATACGTGCACAGAAATTCTATTTTTTTATCACATCCCATAGATTTGAAAAGTGATCTATTTTTGGTTTGACTTGAATCAGTTCTTACTTTTCAGAGTATTAATCATAGCTCAACTATAGTCAAGGTCCTGCTCCCTTCTCTCAGAACAGAAGAAATGTAACATTGAAATATGACCCTTGGGCTTCTGTTCTTCCAATCTTTTATAATAAAGAAAAGCCAAGAATTTGCTGTTGAGCTATAGGGTTTATCTCCAGAATGGGAAAGCTCCATACCTCAAATATGTCAACAAAAAGGAAGAAATATGAGAAGACTATTGGACAAGTAAGAGCGACCTATAACTCATATCTGGCAGTGATGTATTGGACGCATTAATTGCTTGGAGAGCCAGATTTTCTTTTCACATTACTGCAAAAAACAATCACAGCTGAACACAGTAACTGGAGCAAACACACACATTTAATTGCTTTGACTTCTCAAAGCAACAAAGGTTTGAGTTTGATGAGATGAGATTCAAAACTTGAGATCCAGGGCATGGCTGGGAACTGGAGTCCAGTGCCAACATCTGGAAATCTGAGTGGAGGAGGCCTAGACTTTTCTCTGAGCAGGCCCACAGAACTGCATTTCTGTGCTTAACACTGAACATTTTAAAGCATATCAAGAATTTAGGCCTCTAGTTTGAATAGGTACAACTCAGGCCCCTCTTCATCCATGAAAGCATTTAGGCAGGTGCTTAAACCCAAATTTGTCACAAATGTAATTTAGGGATATGCACTATTCACACCAAAAGCCTGGGTATGTTTAACTCTGAACTCTGCCTGTGCTGCTGCCCACAGCATGTATTAAATAGTGTTTCAAGAGAATCATGGCAATGAAGTTGGCAGCTTAAAGCCTAAATTAAAAATCTATCAAACACCACAGTGTTAAACCCACTCAGGTAACACACTTACCTTCTCAGCATATTCAGACACAATTTGCTTGATCTCATCTGACTGGAGCCCAACAATCTGGCCAACTGTGCTTGCTGTCAGTTTGCCCTGCAATTGTATCAAGAAAATACAATTTGATGCTTGGAGCTTTGGAACTGCCTGTATTTTTACATGATAATTTCCAATAAGTTCTAATTTTAAACAGAAATTTGCACAATGAGTAAAAATCCCTAATCATAAGAAAAGTCCAGGAAACATTTTACCCCCAAACCTCATTTTGCTGATAGAAATGTCTCACTTAAATCCTTTTAGCAAATTTTTATTCATATTTCAGAAACTAAATTTTTATTCTTTATACTGAATTTTGCATTTGCTTAATAAACCTCTAAGCATGCAGGCATGTGCAAGAATTCACCTTTAAACTGCATGTATGTATAAAACCAGTTTTCAAACAGAACTGAATTCTACAGTGGATTTCAGTAGAAAGCATGTCAGCTAACTGAGACTAGACTAATTATTACCTTTCCTTTCATGACTCCAGCATAAACAGAAACAATGTTTAACAACTGAGCTTATTTCCAGTCCTTTCACCCAGAAATCAAAGAACAGACTACAAGTTCCATTAGATCATTAAACACAACGAAGAAATTAAGAAAAGAAGATAGATATCCAGTATTTTCTGTCTCTTAGACTAATGTTGTTGTATTTATAAGTGCTTTGAAAAGAACCTTGAAAGGCAGTTTTCCAGCACTCTCCCCAGTAATCTTCTGAATAATTTCACAAGATGAATAAAGTAAGATAGTGCATCTTGGGTAACTGCAGAGTAATGTCTTTCCCCAGAAATTCTTGTAGAAACCATTTAAAATAGGCATTTATTTATATTGTCATTATCATTTCAAGGCAAATGATGAACTAATTAGCCCTGTAAAATTTACTGTCTTCCTAATTCAACCATTTTTATGCACTCTTATGAAAATTTAAACACAGTCATTCCATGACTTCAGACCTGAATCAGCAGCCTGATTTTAAGAATCATTACCACAATTAACCATAATTTAAAGAAAGCTGTATCTGTTTTAAATACTACTGACCTCTTCTGTTGCCATTGCAGCCATTCCAGTCATCAGAGTTTTAATGCGAAGCTACAGCAAAACATGAAGAATTATACACAACAATTTAACTTCCATCATTTTGTTATCTTTCTGCCAGGGACACATACATATAATCAGTATCATATAGTGTGTGTTTTAAAACATGCAACAGGGCCCTCTGTGAAAAGAAGAGGTGGCTAAAGTGACTCAATGTAAGGAAAATTTCTTGTAACAGTAAACTTTCACTCAGACTATTCACCTCCCACTGTCAACCAAAAATCAACCTTTTAAAAAAATGATCAGATTCAAGAAATAAAAAAGACGTTTTGGGTGTTAAACACCAACAAGCATTACTTTTGTGCATCAATTTCAGACTCTGTATTCTTCTTTGGGAAGCACTCTCACTTCAACTAACCATGGAAATTTTCCTTCTTTTGGAGAACAACTGGGCAGTGAAAATTGCTGCTCTCCCCCAGGTTAGTAACTCCCATCCCTACTGTGTCTGGGGCTCACCTCTTCAGCTGCCTGAAGATCATCTTCATCACAAGGCTCAGATTTCCCTGCTGCTGCAAGCCCTGGAGGTAGCACTGCTTTTTTATCCTCAGCCTTTTAAAGAAAAATTGAGACATTATTATAACTAGTTCCAATATTATAAAGTGTTAAGAAAGACATCAAGCAGAAAACTGGAATGTAGCTGTTGTGTTTATATGAACACATTTCAGCTACTGGAACATCCTCATCCTCCAAATATCTCCATTTATAAAAACTTAAATGTGACATTTGTATGTGGAATATTGAGATAATGAAGAAGAGCGCCTTTAATCTACTCAAAGTATTGTTGGGTCCATACGTGTTTAATGCATTACCTTCATTAACTCTGTAATAAAAACTTATAGCCAAATTAACATCTGCACTGAAATAACAAAACTACAGGTACCCTGCATTTTATGGACATTTTAAGATGCCGCAATCATCAAAAGCACAGCAAGGATGCTAATTTTGAAGAAGAACAATGATTTATTTATAATTTTATTTATGTACAGGTTTCTCTATCACATTAAACAAAGTGTTTTGTAATAAACGTCTACAATATTTCTTACCAAGTTGAATGGTTCTTTAAAAATAAAGACCCTTTAATGATCACATTATGGAACACTCAGTTAAAAGATACTAAACAGACAAGATATGTCATTATCTAACAGTAAAAGTCAAACCAAAACAAACCTTCGTTCTTCTAAACAAAAAAATTGTTTACAAAATGTGATCTGTGAGCAGAGAAGAAGGAAATCCTTTAAAAAGAGTAATTAATTACACCTTTCATGGCATGCAGATTTTTAATTGCAGTTAGCTATTTTTAAAATCTGTTAATAGTAGAAGTTCTAGCTGTCTATTCTGCTGTATGCTTTTAGGATTTGACAGGAACCAACACTTCAATGCAGTTCTTCCCACAATTTAAGCATTTTAAATTAGTATATTTTTTACCTGTTCTGTTTTTCCTGCTTGTCTGCTAAATCCATATCTCCTAAAAGAACAATAGTAACATGAAGGAAAAATATTGTTTATGACTTCCACAAATATATTAAGTTTTTATCAATTTTCAATGTAAGATATGAACCAAGAGACAGGACCAAATTAGTTTTGAAATGTTTCAAGTAAATTAAATAAGCAGGTACTGGAGCATATTTACAGAATGGTTTCAGATCCATTATCTGATTATTCCATATTCCTCCCATCAAGATTTGCAAATTTTAACTTTCCATAAAACACTGTCATGTAGAGCTCATGAGAGGAAAAGGCAATGTCCTCCTCCCATTTGAAAGTTAATCCTGAGCTATTACACTACAGTCCATGTTAAAAGGAAAGTACTCAAAACAGTGAGACAAAAAAAAAATCAAAATATCTATGGCTTTGGGGGAAAAGAAGCCCCAGAAGACACAAAATGGAATTCAGATGTAAGCGGCACTTGTTAAGTATTAAGAGCTCAGACAACAGACAAGATGTCCTTACTTCTAAACTGTGAAAAGAAAACTGGAAATAGAAACTAGAAACTAGAAATAGAAGCTCTGTAACTTTATTTTTATGTGTTTGGAGAGCTCTCAGTAAACCAGAGGGACTTTCAGAGATAATGGAAAATTGAAAGCCTTGGTAACTTTGTCTCTGAATGAAAGTTTGCAGCAAGGTGAGAAGACAAAACATTCAACCATGATTCAGCAACCACATGAGAACAAGAAAAGCAACAGCTACTGCAGGTCCTTTTCCACCAAATTTTCAGTGGATTGCTTGCAAAAACCTAACACTGACTGATATGCACTAGCTGGAAGGATGATGTATTTAAGATGTTTTTATAAAAAAAACACACCCCAGAAGGAGCATAAAACCTGGTCTCCCATTGCACAAAATATGGTTCACAAATATGAGGACTGTCCAGTCCCCAGAGAACTTACAGGATAAGGACACAAAATCTGAAACCAAACAGGAGAAAATCTGAAATAGCTAAATTCTGACGTAGTAGGAAAAACCCTACCACTATCCAAATTTCATCTGTACTGCTTGTAATACTATAAAACCCAGAGAGAGCTAAGTGAAGCCTTTCACCTGCCATATTCCAGAAGTGTAGCATGAACCTTTGATTCCTCATCCAGCAGTTCCTCAGCTCCTGTCTGACGTTTGTATTTTCTCTGGGGTTTGTAAACCTCCTGCAAGACAGTGAATGAGTTCAGAGCTTGTAAAAGGGTTTTTTTATAGAAAAATAAATGAGGAATTGTCATCTAAAGTGATATACACTCTGTTTGCTTTCCAATTCAATATACTTACCCAAATAAACATCCTTCACTTTCTCTCTTTAGAATTACATTATAAAACCTTACTGAATTAATTTCTAAGCAATTTGCTATAGAAATTTTCTAAGTTTAAAAAACATTATAAATGACTGTTTAACATTAAACAATGTCTCAACCACCTCTTCTGTCATGTTTGAAAGAACAATAAAAAGTAAAACACTCAATATCTATTAAAATTATTTTGCTAATGCCAGTGTCTAGAATATTGTTACCTTCTTTGTGAGTTAATCCTATTTTTAAACTCTGATTAGATAATTAAATGCAATTATTATCTATTCAATGATCACAGGTTACAATGGAATTAAAACAGATTTTATTACAATTTAAGGGGAAAAAAAGTCTCAAGAAGTTTGGTAGTAAAATGACTTTTTTCTCCCGCTATCCAAGTGTAATCCAATAGCTCATCAACAGCCCATCAAATAAAACAAGAATTCACAATTACTATTTTGTACTGATAGGGCTGCTTCCAATTTAAAAACAAAAGGGAGAACATCTCTTCTTAAATCTGGCTTTCCATACCACACAAACTATTATTTTCAACAAACAATTCCTACACCATAACACTGCTGAAATGGCTTTCCATCTTTTTCAAAGATGTAATCCCAAGTGGAGATTTCAAACAGGTACAAATTGATAGAGGGTGAGCTGACATGTAAAACAGAATACAGGTCTCACTGGAAAGGTAAGTGTTTCTAGTTGGAATAAAAGACTCATTGTAATTAAAAAACCCAATCAAAACATGGGGAACAACACTTTAGAAACTGTAATTGAAATTTTCAAAGCAAGGACAATTATTCAAATAAATTAACAAAGGAGTTACATTGGTCATCACCTGGAGACTTTCACTGCAATGTTATTTTACAAACACTTGCTGTAATTCAACCACATGTAGCAGGCTCAGCAGCACTCAGGTCATTTGTACAGAAAACCAACTACCTCTCTCCAAAACCTGACAAGAGAGTAAGGTGACTTGTCTGGCCCATCACACAGCCTCTCATGTGGCACCTTACACCAGCACTGAGCATCTCATCTGTGCATGAAGAGCTCAGGGTGCCTGGCTAGAGCTGTCTGAAAAAAAAGTGATTTTCTCAGGAGAGCAGGGTTACACATTCAATTGAAGAGCCTTGAAAATGTCCCCTTCAAAGCAAACCCAGATTTCTCCTCTTTTGGCAAATACTGCCCTGGAATTTATCAAGATGGTCCAAAAACCCCCAAAGCAGTAGCAAACTACTGTGAGTCAGAAATGGTGAATTGATGGTCCCAAGCAAAGAGGAAATTAGAAAGCAACAACAGAAACTCCAGCTGTCAGCCAGACAGCTGAATTCAGGTATGAGAGTGAGAGAGCCTAGGTATTTTACTGTTTTACCTCTCTGTAGCATTGATGAACAAGTTCAAAAAATATATGCAAACAATTTAGCCAAGTTAGATGTGCATGTAAACAGGGAGAACACAGGTGAGACCACCTTTGCTAACCAACATCTGCTACTTGAAGAAAACATTCCTGAAGTAGGATGTTTACTTTCATTGTTAATTACAAGTGAAAAAGTCAAGTTCTGAAATGCAGATAATGGAGATCATCACCACATTAACTAATTTCAAGACAAACAGCACAACTGCTGATAGCTTCAAACACACATTTAAGTCTGCTGAGGGTTTAACAGTCTGTAAGCTACCCTGTGACTTCTGTTTGATTGTGTGGGATTCCACACAGCCTGTGCAGGCAGTGGATATGGTTTATCTCCTCATACAGTGCACACCTATCAATGTGATATATTGGCATTTGAGACCTGTCTCAAGTACAAAGATCAACATGTAACTTAATTGGGATCTTCTCATGAGAAAACCCAATTAATCCAGAATTAACCACCTGCGTTTAATTACTAAACCACTCACTTGGCCATAAAAAAAAGGAAATCTAACATACTTACAAAGATATCAGTAACCGTTTTGAGTGCCTTCTCTTTTCTTTGCATGAATTCATCATCCTGAAAGACATCAGTGGAGGTAATTAAAAATGCCAGGAATAGAGACTAAATTTCAAACATTCTAATGATTCTGTGAAACAAAGCTGTCAAACAGTTTCTGAGTTGCCCAATGATTTGGTGAAATGTTAGTAATTTTTTGCTGTAACAAGACAAGTACTGGCTTCTGTCTTCAGATGGGAGAGAGGTCATCAAAACTGTGCTCAGACCAACAGCCTGGCTGCTTTTGTGTCAGGCAGTACCTGACACAAAAGCAGTCCCAGCCCACTACTGGGATCTCCAATCTTTAATACACTATTAAGAAATGAAGCTGAGAAAGACTTGATGTGGAAAAGGGAAGTTTCCTCTACTGTTTAGTTTCTAAGCATTAAAGATAATAAAAAAAAAAATCAAAATCAAAACCACCCCAAGTTAATAAAATCTGTCTATCCCAATACTAAGGACATGTACCTTTAATCCTGTTACTAAGGGACAACACTTGGGTAGTAGATGTTAAAAATGGAATTATCTTGTGATACGTAAGAACAGAACTGATGCCTTTGCACTACAGGCACATATCCAAGCTCATTCAATGTCTCCTCCTCTACCAAGGAAACTTCATCTCATTGCAGAAGAGCAGTTCAGTTATTGAATGAAGTTTTTTACAAATCTAGTTTTCAAGAACACATTTTGGGGTTTGGATACAGAAAGACAAGATCTGCCTTTCAGCACTCTGAAAGAAACCCCAAATTATAGAGTATTAACAGCATATTAGTTCTCATTAGCTACATTAGCCTCTCCACAACATGCTGGGTGTTTCTGAACAGTTAGAATAACACAAAAATACCAAATATGGCAGAAAAACTAAGGCAATCATTGGGCAAAAGTTAACCAGAATCTACAAAATTTCTGTCACAATAACGCTTCAATGTTTTTCCAGATAAATTTGTAGGGGATTCCTTTAACACTCACTCACAAAACAATGGCACTTTACTCTGGTAAAGTGTGCAGATTTCAGAGCTGTGAGGCTGGTACTTCAGCTGAAGATCTGACACATAACAGAAACAAGAAATGCCTTGATCTTACCTCTGGCAGTCTGTGAGTTTTTTGAAACTGTGATATAGAGTAAGAACGGACATAATCTCCCATTTCTTCCCTTGTTTCTATTGCACGTTTTACCAGCCACTGAAAAAAAAAATTGTATTAGCTGAAAACAAAAGAATAACAGCAGCAAGAACCAAGCTCTGCCTAATTTTTTAATACATGATAAAAGCTAAAAGCACATTTTTAAGCATGGAAACAAGAGCATGTGATTTATTTGTAAACGTGGCAACTCTTTGGCCTAACCCTAAAAAAATGTGTCAGTATTTACTACTTTATAAACATTTCTTTTTCTTTTGTGCATATGTTTCTTGTATGAAATTCTCCTACTGTAGATCACTCACTGGTTTAAAAGACTACAGCTCCACCAGGAACAGACAGATCTTCAAGCCTATGAAGTGCTCATGAAGAACCACATGCCTGTGCAAGAAAAAAGGCTTCTTCTGACATTTATAAGACCACACAAAAAGCCACAAAATACTGAAGTACATTTTAAACAATGTTAGAGAAGATAAATCTTGCAGACTGTTGACAGCCTGTGCAGGAGGTCACAGAAGAGATGAGATCAGTTGTGGGATCCAAGTTTGAACCAACAACTGTTTGCTGTGCTATAACCATGAACCCCTGGAAAGTGAGGGGAACATGATGACAACAACACATGAAAATGAAGAATATTAATTACCAAGAACATCTCAACACAAGACTGTGTACATACTTTTGCCTGTGATCATATGCAGAATTTATTAGGAAGAACAAAGACATTTCTGCCCAATGGAATATTTGTTAGATTTTTAAAAGTTTTTTTAAAGTTCTGCTACAGTCTATGGCAGTGAGCCAACTTAGCCTAATTTCTTCCTGTAGGGAAGGATCCATCAAAATTCTTGCACAGTGCTAGAGCTAATGGGACACAATGTCAGACTTAAGAGCAAGTATTTGAAAAGTGATTTGAGAGTTACAGATAGCAAGTGGAATCTTGATTTTAACAGGGCATTGAATAAAGTGCCATTATCAAATACATAATTCCTACATGGTGTAGTCAGCATTTTATATTTTGCATGGTCTGTTTCAGAACACAGTATTCTGGTGACACCAACAAGTTTTCTTGAAAGTCTGTCTTGTCTGGGATGAAATGAGGAACTTGCAGTATATGGAGCAGGCAGAACTTCACAGGGACCTGGCAGAAAGCCACAATTTTTAAACCAAGATCCTCTACATACCAAAAACCAAGCCCATCAAAAAAGACTTGTATGGGTCAGCTCTACCACCTACTGGCCAGCTACAAATACTGAGTCACTGCTCTTGGAGAGATCCAGAAGCAGAGTTCCTCCCTGTTTAGAATTAATATTTCTCCTTTCCAGAATTAATATCCCAAACCAGGATTGGGATAAAGCAGGTGAGAGAAATGAACACCTAGTGCTACTGCTTTTACAGGAGGAGGAATGTATTTCCTATGAAACAAGCCTAGTGTTTAATAAATGTAACCATTCATTGCCATCAAGTGACCAGGACCAGAAACTCAACTGGGTTGAATTTTTAATTTTTTTTTTCTGTGTAGGAAATAAGGGTTCAGAAACAAAAACATTAGCAAGACACAAACTTTCCACTTTAAGCAGCATCATCACAGCCTGAAAGCTGTGTAAGAGTAGCACACACCACAGCATGTTTCATGTGGAGTGCTGTTAAGTGTGGTTTTCCTTAGGATTTTCCAACTGGAAGATAAGAGGAAAGAGCACCAGGAAGTTTTCCCCACTTCTTACAGACTGAAATTTAGATTCTTCTTGCTTGCTAAATTCCTTCACAGGCATGAGGTAAGGAGATATTTAATGGAAAAGAAGCTTGCTTAACAGTCTTCATTTTCCCTATCAGTCAAAGATACCTTTCTGTGTGCAGATGAAAGGAAAAAAAAAAATGCCAAGGATTCTCAAAATACCACACGTAACTGGAACACATCAAGTGTTACCTTAAATCTTAATAAACTTGAGGAGGAGGCATATGTTGAGTTAGTGGTGCTCAACAAATACATAGTAAGAGGATCACTTGTCAGAACACAGGTTTTAAGTGATAGGAAATAAGGATGAATTATGCTTAAAGGAATGACCCCAATGACTTCTGCCTTATTCATATCCTTCTGATTCAAGGTCTATCTGCATCACTTTCTCCATAAACTTAAACACAGTCTGGAAGGTATTTGTTCTATTTCCTAGCTTGCCAAAGCAGACTATCAGATTCCACAACAAGATTAAACTTAGGTTTCTTTAAGGAGGCATTCCACAATAGGCACAATCTGACTCCACTGCAAAGAATTCAGAGAGTTTGTTTTGTTTACCTTCTAAATGTGGATCAAACAATATTTTAAAATTCTATCTTCCACAATGTTACTTCATTCTTTAAAAACATTAATTCAAACTACTTCTCTATGCTTATTTATTCTGAAGTTAAATAAAGAGCCAAACAATAATTCAAAGCTTTGTTCTATTTTTTATGCAAGTTTTATGGCCTTTTTCAGCAAAATATCAATATACCATGAAATTATTACCTGTACAACAGGAAATATATGAATGAAATCCAGTCCCTGGATCTGATGTGGTTCCAAACGATGTGGACACTTCATTTTTGGTAATACTGACACGATTTTTTCAGTTAAGGCACTATTATAAAAACAACAAAAAGACAGATGTATATATGCTACAATTTTCTTTTGTAAATTATAGATTATGTTTGAAAACACAGTAGTTCAAAGATTTCCTGTAGTACCTTCCACTATATATAATGAAAAGCAATCCAACTCATCTACAAAACAGCTTTTACAGGCACTGTTTATATCATCAGTCTGTGAAGAGGTGATTAAGCCCCACTTACAGGCTCCTTCCTTGGAAATTCATTTAACTACTACAGAAAATTTCAAGATCTGCATGTCTGGACAGATAAAATACCCATATAAGATACACCTATGAACACCTTTGCATGTTATAGAGTACACCCAACATGAAGAGACAGTAGCTTTAAGAACTTTAAGTAAGAGATGTGCTCTCCAAGGAAGTCCAGAAGCAAATGTAAGGACTTAAAATTTTATTTAGCAGAACTCTCAAAATAAATATTGATGTTACTCCTGAAACTTTTTGAATTTAAATACCTACTGCACTTAAAAGCTAAATACACAGTGCACTTCACATACTTTTCAAGTGACTGAAATTGAATTTGCTGGCAGCAATCTCATTCTAGAGCTCAGTAAGAGCTGGTTAAGTGGAAGGATTACCCTGCCACAAGGGATCCATCTGCAAGAAATTCATCCTGTTTCCACTGAATACCTAATTTTAGGGTAAGAATTTTTTTTTTTTTGCTGTCAGTGTTGGCAAGTACATTTTTAAAGCAGGTGTAACCACTGAGGATGAGAACCTTACTTTGAAAACCAAAGCTATTTCCCCATGAAAGTAAAAAAATGAACTGGTCCAGTACTGACCTACTGATACTTTAGGACTGTCCAAAAGGACAACTAAGATCCTGGAAGAACAAAAGGGGATCAAGAGATATGAGAGAGGGACCAAAATCAGGGAATAGAGCTTGAAACACTTTACTTCCTAAAGGGAAGTGAAGCACAATCAAAGCAAATGCAATTAAAACAAAAATTATTTATCCAATAGATGCAAGATCCTCTCCTAATGTATGCTTCCATTTTTATTTGAGCCCAGCAATTAAATAACATCACAATGGTGTAACACCATCACTTTGGAATAATACTGAGAAAGCACAGCTTAACTTTTCTTTATCTTGAAAACACCACAGAAGCCCTGAGCCTCTACCAACACAAACATTACATGGACATCAAAACAGCCTATGCTCCTCCGATGTTCTGAACACTTTAGGTTTACAAATAAATCATTGTTGCTGTTTTGGGAGAGGAGCCTGGTTTTTGTTTTGCCAGTTTTGCATCCAGTCAGCTGGAAAAATAACAGAACATTTTGGGAACAACCATTTCCTACCCTGTTGTTCTTAAAGATATGACACAGACAAAAAACTACCATTACCATTATAATTCCAAGTCTCTACTTAATTCTTTGTACTCAGCAATACTTTATGTAGTTAGTTATCTATAATGATTTGAGTGTCTCCAAATGCAATTGCAATATCTACAAATATTTCTTTTGAAAAGCCTTGCCAATGCTCTATGACTTTCAAGAAAACACAGAAAGATGTTCTTTTTAACTGCACCAAGTAACTAAGTCTCTTCATGCCATTGTAATTTATCAGACTAAACTTATTTCCCAAAAATTTTAATTATGGCTCTTTTATCACAGACACACATAAAGAAATAGTGGAGTTTAGAATGTGTTCCCTTTCCCAGCATAAACAATGTCTATAACCTCCCTGGCACAGGAATTAGCTGGCTTATGAGCAAATTCCATGCATAAGAAATGAACCAAAACAAAATGTTCCCATTGGGTCACCCTGAGGAAGGAAATCCTCCTCCTCAGTATGGGGCAGGTAACTATTTTGGCAACTTGCTTTAAAGTCTGTTTGCTGATGCCTACAATTCTAACCCAGAACCATAAAAGGGAGTCAGAGGTTATTTACACAGCAGAACTGCAGACACAGGGAACTCAGGGAAGGTCTTCTAATGTTGCACTCCAGCTTCCAGCAGCGTGGTCTCCCTCTGCCCTTTGCTTTGGCCTCTGCAACATCCCCTTGTGCCAGCACAAGCATCTGTACAGCTGCACAGAGAACTGGATCCAGGAATTCATTCATGTTAAAACTATTTTCTTTTTTTTTAATGGGTTTTGGTTTTTTGGGGTTTTTTTTGTAGGTTTTAATTTGGATCAGTTCCTAATTCAGTTCAGTGTGGAGCCACACAAATGCTTTCAGTGCTTAGTAGGGATATAAGAACATGGCAGCCCAAAGGGAAGAGCCCTGCCTTTTTTGAAATAATTCTTTCTGGATTTAGAATTTGTGGAACTACAGTCTGAGAAACCCAGAAACCTGTGCAATGTTTTGTAAACAGGCAGTCCTCAAAAGCAGGAAATTTGAACCAACACTCCTTCTTAGAAACACGGCAGGTAACTTCCCCCTCCCCACCCACTTCTGATTTTCTAAGAAGAAAAATCCCCCACTTTTCATTTAATCAACTTACATTTTTTGACCAATAGTAGAGTTTTCCTGAAATAACAAATCCACGTCGATATCAAAGCTGCAGGTAGTGATACACCACGTCATGCCTCCCACCACCTGGCAAAGGAGCAACAGCAGGGTCAGGGCCATTTAAACTGAAGAGGTAAACCCAAATACATCTTCCAGGCTTTATTTATTTTAGAAACTACATCTCAGTGATCTCACCATCCTCAGTATCCTCTCTGCTCTAACACAGACTCAGATAACATAACCATACCAACTACATACAATACTATACACAATACATGTGTACAAGAAGACAGAAACCAACCCAGCAGTTATTGACAATCTAAATTCCTCTCTTAGCTTTTTATATTAGTTTTGAAACAGCTCTCAGATTGAAAAAAGAAAACCAAATCAACCAACAAATGGATAAAACACAACAGTATGTTAAATGCCATAACCTCTAAAAAGTGACCATATCAAAGTTTTATCAAGGATCATAATTACTGCAGTCTTATATTTACCTTTTATATACATCTTTGCTACTATTATGTCTTGCTTGCAACACAAAGTGCTAGACACAGTATCAGCACAGCAATGGAAATCCCCAGCTCTGCAGAATTCTCTATTTCAGGCCCTATTCTGACATGGGCATATTTAAACTCCTGAGCCATTTCATCAACTTTACACAAATATTTAAAGACAACCTTGCATAAACATGTGCAAGATAACCTAAATGTATGCAAAGGCAAAGAAGAGAAAAGGGGATTAAAATGTGGAATAACTTGCCATCACCACACAGCAAATTAGGAACCTTGGTTTCTAACAAGGTTTCTGACATATTCCCCCTCTCATATCCCCTCTTTGATAACCTACATCTCCCTTTTGCATCAGCATGTGATCACTTTCAGTAGCACGGCTCATTTTGGTGAGGTTGGGCCCTGTCATGAAATGGTAACTTTGCAATTGTATTTAAGTAACTATAAGTGATTTCTACACATAAATGCAACAATGTTACAACCTACAGCAGTCTCTTTGAAACGACTCTGTGAGCATAGACTCCTGAGCAGCAAGTGTTAGCAATACCAAGGAGTTTGAATAAAATAAAATTGCATTGCAAAGTGAGGCTGTGCTATGATCAAAGAGACAGCAGAAAACAGAAGAATCCATTTCAAGGTTGCTGTAGTTCTGTGTTTTCAAACCTTGGTTGAGGAATTTCTCACAGAGTCAGCATTAAAACAATTCAGAAATCTCTCTTCAACCTGAACTTTGCTCACTGTTAGCATCACACTCTTCCTGTCTAGGACAATGAAAGGTTAACAAATATGACATTCTAAAGATATGTAAAAACAGCCCCAAAATAATCTCACCAGGCTAACTGTTCCATTCTTACACAGACACTTCCTCATTTCTCATCAGTGTTGTTTCAAAAATCACCATGTTATCTCCAAGTATCCAAAGACTCCAAGTATCCAAAGACTGGCTATTCTAACTGCTGTTGGGAGAGAGAGGAAATTTCCCTGTACACAACTCTGGCACGGGCCATAGCACCCAAAAAAAGCACACAGCAGTTAGTTTGCATCCAATTGTCTCCTCTAAAAGAGGCCTTGCTGCACAAAACTGTCTTTCAAGACCAAGGAGGTCCTGTCTGCCTAAAACTAGGTCATTTGCAGAATTATTCACACAGGGAAACTTCACAGGTTGCAACTGTCATATAAAGTCACCCAGAATTGCTAAGCAAACCAGCAAAACATATAAGGCACTCATGCTTAAAAGAGGGGTTTAAAATATCGTCATGGCCTCACCTTGTCAAAGGGTGATAACCCCTTGATTCTTGCTCGAAAATACCCAGCAGCCACCAACAGTTCCAAGATTTCAGTCAACTTGATGTTTTGTTCCTCATCTTCTCTTGTTTCAACCTGACAAACAAACAACAAAACACTAATTCAGTTTTTCTCATTCATTTGAAGAATGAGCATTTTCCAAGCCTTGGCACAGACCACATATCAGGGGAAACCTGCCTTCCATTAGCAACTTGGTTGTTAATTCGAAAGACGTTAAAAAAACAGGGAACACATTTGTACACGGACTTAACATCACATATTTTCACCCAGTTAAATACTTTAATCTGCTTTTGCTGTTCAAACTCCTGGTCCACTGCTTGCCTCTAGCTACTAAGATTGTCCTACTGCCATAAACCAGTTAATCTATTCTCCATTTCACACATTTCTCTCAATTTCAGGGTTCATAAACTCACACACCTCAATTTAACCTCTATCCCAGCCGAAACCAGGACACGCTCCTCTAATCCTTCTACAGAAACAGGAGGAGACGCTCACACGGATTTCCACTTTTTGGGCAAGGCAATTTCAAGGCACGGCAGTGACAGAAGTGAACTGTGCCGGGCAGCCCGGCCAGCCCCAGCGCTCCGAAGCCTCACCAGGGCTTTTGTCCCCACCTTGCAGGATGAATCCCCACAGCTGCGGGCATTTCCCGGAGGCACGGAGCTCCCAGCACGCCGGCCCTAGGCCGGAGAGCCGGTCACAGGGCTCCACACCTGCACTCCCTTCCCACCTCCATCCCTCCGGGCGCCCTGCGGTCTCCGCTCGCTCCCACGGGAACGCGGCGAGCCGGGCTCGCAGCGGGGGCACGGGCAGGCGATGCTGCACCGAAGGAAGGTGACCCGCACAGCGCTGCCGGCAGCCCCGCAGGCCTCCCCGCGCCCGGCCCGCGCCCGGCACCGACCCCGCGCTGCCCGCCCGGGCCGGGGACCGGGGCAAGGAGCAGGCGGGGATCCCGCTGCGGCGGGGCCGGAGGAACAGCGGCCGCGCCTCGGCAGCGCCCGGGGCACGGGGGGCTGGGAGAGACGCGGCTCCGGTACCTCCTGCGGGGCCTGGCGCTCCTGTCCCCGCGGGACCCCCATCGCCCTCCGCCGCCGGCCGCGCCGCTGTCACGTCCGCTCCCCGCCGCCGCAGCGCCCCGGCGAAGGGGTGTTCCCGGCCGGCGGCTGCCGGGTTCCCCCGCCCCCGCTCAATGGTTCGCCCGCACCCTCCTTGCGTACAAGCGCATCCGGGCCGTGCCATTCGCGGCCGAGGGGTGCCGGGGAATGAGGGCGGCGGCTCATGTGACTGACTGGCTGCGCGGAGCTCAACGGCCGCGGCCCCGCCCGCGGGCTGCGCCCTTGGGGGCGCCCCCGGGTGCCCCCGTGCCCGCGGCCCTCAGAGCGCGGCTCCTTCCCGCGCGCCCCGGCGCTTCCGCTGCGCTGCTCTGCGCCCGCCGCTGTTTTCTCCTTTTTTCCCTTTTGCAAGGGGTCCTGAGGCCTCCCGCCAGCATGGAGGACAAGTTACTGAGTGTTCGGACTGCGAGGCGCCTCACTGCCGCTCATGCCGCACTGGGCGCTGACACTTCTCATTGCCAGCCGTGTTTCCTTTGGTGACCTAAGAGCTGAAGTGGGGTTTAATTCTGTTTGTTCTCCTTTGCACACAGGTCACAGAAGCACTGAACCCATTAGGTTGGAAAATACCTCTGAGATCAGCAGGTCCAACATCGGACACCACCATGTAAACTGGACCTTGGCATCAAGGGCCATTTCCAGACTTCCAGGGACGGTGGCTCCACACTTCCCTAAGCAGTTCATTGCAATATCTAATCACACTTTCTGTGAATAAATTCTTGCTAATACCCAAGCTAATTTTTGCTAATACCCTCCCTGTCACAGCCTAAGATCACTTGCTCCCATCCAGTGGCTGGTCTCCCAGGAGCAGAGCCCGGCCCTGCCTGGCTGCACCTCCTGCAGGGAGCTGTGGAGGGACAAGGTCACCCCTGAGCCTCCCCCAGGCCAAACGCCCCCACTCCCTCAGCTGCTGCTCCTCAGGTTTGTGCTCCAGTCCCACAGCAAGAAACCCCCCTTATTATTATTAATAATAACAATAATAGCAGCAAGAAACCTGTGCTGGCTCTGGCTCATGGCACATCATGGGGCCATGTCTGAGCATCCCCCGGTGGGAGGGTGGATGTGCCTCCCACCCAGCTTTGGCAGCACCAAAACACCATTTTCATAGGCAGACACTGCAGGGGGATGGCTGTGCTGGGGTCTGGATGCCTTGCCCAGGCTGGTTGCCAACACATGTTGGATTTGTGAATAAAATCACACCAATGCACAGGGATTTGGTGGGCTGGACAGCTGGATAGCAAACCAGGGCAGCATTTCATGGGTAGCATTCTTGTTGGTGATGGCTTAGAAAATACCTGGCAGGGGTGTCTTTTCAAGTCTGTCACAGGTGTTCTGTTTCCAGACTCTTCACCACACACTGAATATTAAAAAAAAAATAACCTTGCACTGGCTGGAAGCATCTCAATAAGGTGAAGGAATAGGAGCGCAGCATTCCCATCCTTTGGAGGGCAGCAGAGCATGCATGAGCCAGTCCATTCTGACTGCTGCCCTGACAGAGCAATAATAATAATAATAATAATAATAATAATAGCAGCAAAAATAGGCCAGACCAGCTCAAGCCATGTACTGGTGTAAGCACAGGCCACATCTTAATTAGAGCTGCAGAACACTGTTCCACAGCCCAGAGGTTAATGTGATCACCACAGCAAAATGGGCTTTCTGTGTTTTGTCTGCCTTCTCCTCACAGAGAACTGCATGGCTCTAATTTGACTGCCATGGAGAGGGAGACTGAAGCCCTCAAAGAGCAGGGACAAAGAAAAGGGTTGAAACAGGAGAGTGTTAGGAAGGGATGCAGACGACCTTCAGACACAGCAGCAAGTTCAGAAATTCTTAAAAATGATAAATAAAAAGCCAAAGGTAGTATAAAATAGGGACTTAAGTAGTAAATGACGATATTAAGTATCAGACAAGGGAGGGAACTAACCTACTCTGGGAAACGGAACTGTTTCTCTGGCTTTTTAAAGCACAGTAAGGCAAAGGAGGGAGACAGGGCTAATTAACTCCTATGAAGTTTAAAACTCATGCAGCTGGCCTCTAAAATCACAAAGCTGGCTTGAAATGATGTAGTTACAGAAATTTAATGGGTTCCTCTAAATTGCTCTATGTCTATGAGACCACAAGAACTGGAAACTTTTTACTCCTTTATAGGCTGGAATTTTCCTTCATCTGGTATGTAGGAAAGAAAAGAGTAAAGCATAAAAATAGAAAAATCTATGATCATTACAAGTCATCTTGGATCACTTGAACCTCAATAAAATACTTTGCAAAAGCATTGCTTCCCAATACCTAATTGTGATGCAAATTCACTCAGTTACCCAGACAGAGCTGCTGTCCCCTATGACATTTGGATAATCAATCTTCTAAATACCAATTAGTTTTAAAAGGAGTCCCAAGAGGGGTGCCATCAAAAAAAGAAAAACCTCCTTTCCTTCAGATTTTTTGATTTTGTGCTTGCAAATCTCGAGCTGTTTCAATTTAGGCTTAGTTTTCCCTACTTTATTTTGGTCTGTGAACGGAAGTGAGCTCTGGTTCTTGGTGCAGCTGCTCTCAGCAATCCTGTCTTGATTTTTCCATTTCATTGATCTTGATCCCACAAAGCTGGGCTAAAAAGCTTCCTCATTTTTTATATAGCCATGTGATTCATTTTGCTGCTCAGCCCAGACTTGTGACAACATTAAACTCAGTCACCACTGCAAATGTAGCAGTGGTAGATCTCACTGTATCTTTTAGCACGTTTGTTTCTTCTTGTAATAAAAATAAAAGCATGAAATGGAGTCCTAACAGCAACAGCAAGGGCTCCACTGTTTGTAGAGCAGACACAGTTAGATAAACAAAGTAACCTAAGTAACTTTCCAGTGTTCTCTATTCTGAGAAGGCCTAAAAGAGATTTATTTCCATTTTGCATGATAGATAGTGTGTGTATCACTTCCTGTGCAATGGTCCTTTGTACAGCATCTTCTTGTTAGGGTGCAATGTTTTTTAAGGATATTATAAAACAAAGTGGACAGATCACGGAGTAAATGGAAAGGATCTCAGTGTTTGCATCAGGCCATGGACCTCAGTACTGCTATGTGTGCATTTTCCCAGTTGGATTCCTACTTCCAGGAGAAGCTGAAGTCTCTTGTAGGGAACTAAGCTCAAACCTTCCAAACACTATCAGATTTTGCATTGTTTTAAGCGGGCTCTTTTTTCAACCCATTTTGTTGCCTGGCAGCCCCAGCACAGACATCACTTCCATCCTGTTCCCTAATAATATGATTCCTGTGATAAAGGTTTTCATCCAGGTTTCTGGAATCAGCAGTACTGTTGGCTACACCACAAGTATCTTCCTCTGCATGCATTTACTCTTTTAATTTGTTGCCTTGGTTGTATCCCATCTCCTCACAGTTACTCAGTTCCCCTTCATCTCTTTCCTGAGATGTAGTAGGCATAGAGAACCATTCAGTGGGCAATTGCAAATTCCCAATTATCGTCAGTGAAAGTGAGACTGTGCACTGTGAAATGAAAAAGTCACAGACCTGTTATAGTGGCCACTGTGTTAGGGGCTGCAGCAGACCATTGCATCCCATCAGACCAGCTGATATTCTTTGCAAGGTATTGTGCCCTTTCAGCACTCACATATAACAGGAAATCGTGGTGTTTTAAACATGCTCACTGTTGTACCCATGAGTGACATTTAGAAGGTCCAATCCAGCCAAGGTCCTGCTTAGTCCCTCCCCTGAACAATTCCTATTTTCAGCACTTAATAGTTTATAACACAGGCAGACAAGAGAACATATTTTTCTTGAAAATTATGTTAGTGTCATTTTTTAATACTGTTTTGTAAGATGGGCAATATGAACACAAACATTTTTAGCTCACTTACTTGGAAGAGGAAAGACTTTGTGGCCTGTGGAATTTGTAGAGGAGAAGGTAATCTGATAGTGGAAATATTGAGATTCTAGTAAGAAGAAAAATCACAGCTCCCTCAATGTCTACATGACAGAAGTTGACAGAATTGGTGGCCCATCATCTCTACAATTTCATCTGTGCCAGATTAGAAGTCTCCTGGAGAGGAATGAGAATATTATAATGAAGAATGTGATGAATATAAAGTTTTTACCAGACTTCTCTTTCTGCAGTGTCATGATTTTGATCTCATGACTCAAAGACTGTAGTCACAATATGCAAGTAGCCAATCATTTTGGGTATTTCAATTTTTGAGAGCCTGGGTTTTCAGAGCTACTGTGCTCTCTTTGAAAACCAGGCTGCTGAGGAGTTTCTCAGTTTCTATGTGGGTGCACACTGCAAAGTCCAGGCAAGGACAGGCACAGCACCCCGTGACACAGGGCAGTCACCCACAGAGAGGTTTGTTTGGGACAGTGCCTTTGCACATCTTTTCTGAGTCTCAGGTCATCTGTAGCTGTTGTGCTCAAAATAAATTAATCTCCAGGAGAATGAAGTGGGTCTTTCTAACTCACATATCATCCATGGAACAACTAATTAAATCTGATTCACTGAGCCTCGACCTGAGAAGGAACAAACAAAATGAGAACCTCTGCACTATAAGTGCATCACAGACTCCTTGGTTTGGGCCAGGATATTAAATTTCAGATCACAGCTCTGTGAAGAAATGTTTTCCTTCCTTTTTATATTGAGACCAAGCAAATCTGATATGGAATTGTTGGAAAACGAAATGCCCAGGAGCTTATAATATATTTGTGAAAGGTAAAACTTCTCCAAACAGAATCACTAGTAAGACTTACTTGAAGTTCAAAGAATAAGAGACTTCAGGTTGTTGGATTACTGATTAGCAAATCCTTACAAA